TTTCCCTCTTCCTTTGGTGTACTTGTTCTCTCACTTTAAAACAAAAAACAGAAGAGCTCCTATGCTAACTTTTCTTTATATAAATTGTTCCAGCTCAACAAAAACACTACGTTTTACCTTGCAGCCCTACACTTTGGTAACATTTTGTTTTTGGTAAATGTGACTTACAACCTCTCATTAAAATCAGCCTCTCTTCTCCCCTGGCCCTGTCACCATGTGTGCAGGTGTGGCAACCACACACACTGCCCTTTACCTTGTGCTGGGGGAGCAGCAGTGAGAGTGAGGTCCACAGGCTGGCGCAATAAAGAACAAGGGCCGATCCAAGGTGGGCAGCCAGTAACATTTTGTTTTTGGTAAATGTGACTTACAACCTCTCATTAAAATCAGCCTCTCTTCTCCCCTGGCCCTGTCACCATGTGTGCAGGTGTGGCAACCACACACACTGCCCTTTACCTTGTGCTGGGGGAGCAGCAGTGAGAGTGAGGTCCACAGGCTGGCGCAATAAAGAACAAGGGCCGATCCAAGGTGGGCAGCCAGACGGTACTGACTGACCCGAGGGATGTCAGAGGAGTCTGGCTTTTCTTCTAATCCACTCTTCACCATGTACCATCCCAGCAGACCCTAGAATCCAGAGATGGGGCAAATAAAACAAAATTAAACTGCTGTACTTTACTGAGGAAGTGAGATATCAGGACTCCTCTCCACCTGGCCCCGCCTTTCCATTCTTCCCATACATCCAGCGAACTAAAAATGAGGACCTATCCTCAATTCTATATATAGCACCATTAGTACTTAACCGCTGTTTAGGTGTATGTTTCACTGAAGTAAATCCAAATACAGAAAAGTACACAGAAGTTTATCTGCATGCAACATCTTAAATATACTTAATATAATTTAACATCACATAAACCAGTAAAATAAGAGAATAAAAAGACAAGTGATTTTATAAAAACTACCTTGAATGCTTTGGTCAAGTTTTAATAAAGATAACTGTTCGGGCCAGCCCCATAGCTCAGTGGTTAAGAAAGCAGATCCTGTATGTCTGGCTATGGTTCAAACCTCATCCCTGGCATCTTGAAAAACATGCCGAGTATGTGTGCATGTGTGTGCCAAAATCCTAATGGGAAGGAGAACTGGAAGTAAAAGGAGTATGGCACAACCACACCCCGTTACAGGGGTGATCTCTCTCTTCCCCCCTCTCTCTCTCCCTGGTGAGTGCACATACCCTCTGATAATTAAAAAAAAAAAGATAACTGGTTAAAAACAATTATTGACAAGTAAGATGTGAATAAGACAATTATAAACATTTCAGGGAAAATCTGAAAAATCTGTAAGGCTTTACATGTAGGTTGCTTGTCAAACAGCTAAGTTCTCACTTTTCATTAAGAAAAATGAAATAAGAAATGAAAATTTATGGTGGTACAAGGATCTGAAATTAAACTCCCATCAAGAGACTCATGGTCAAATAAAAGGCCTTGGGGGCCAGCTGTGGCATGGTGGTTAAGGTGGCTGGATGCTGCATGGCTGACTGTGCAGTTCAAGTCCCAGACCCAGCAGCTTGAAAAATACCTGTGGCATGTATGCCCAAAATCCCAAAAGGAGAAACAGAGAAGGGACTGTGGTGTGACCATACCCCATGGGGGCAAGGCGTGCTTTTCATACTCTCTCCCTCTGTCTCCAGTGAGTGCACATGCACTCCAGCAAATTAAAATAGGTAGGTAGGTAGGTAAGTAGGTATAAAGAAAAAAATAGAAAAAAGAAAGAAAGAAAGAAAGCCTTGAACCTTGACTTAAAAAAAAAAAAAGAGCTGGTAATAAAAGCAGAACTTTAAAAAAATGTATGGTATGTATTGTATTCTACAATACTCTGCTTTTTTGCAGAGATTTTTGTTGTAGGGCACGTTCACTTGCTAGAGAGACAGAAAAAGCGAGAATGGCCATGCTGCAATCCCTTCTCCTCCATTCTCCTCTCGGGATTTTGGACATACATGTGCCGGCACGAGTTTCAAGCCTCAAGATCCAGGACTCAAACCGTGGTTGGCCACATGGGAGTCCAGAGCCTTAACCATTACGCCACCTGCTGGCCCTACTAGCTTAAAAAAGTTTTTTTTAAAGAATTATTCATTTAGGGAACCAGCAGTTAGCATAATGGCTATGTTGCTGGACTCCCACGTAGTTGACCGCGGTTCGCGTCCCAGACCCGGTGGCTTAAAACTCACGCCGGGCACATGTGCGTGTGTGCCCAAGATCCCGGGAGGAGGATGGAGGAGAAGGGATTGCGGCGTGACCATCCCCCCTGGGGGGTGATTTCTCGCTTTCTGTCTCTCTGTCTCTGTCTGTCTGTCTGATGAGTGCACACGGCCTATAGCGAAAATCTCTCCAAAAAAAAAAAAATTATTCATTTAATTTATTACTGTTTTTTAATTTGCTATAGGGGTCGTGCCTGAAAGAGCAAGAGAAAGATAAAATGAGAAAGCAAGCCGCCATATTTGGGATTCAAACTGTGATCAGGCAGGTGGGAGTTTAACACCTTAACCACACCACCTGCTGGCTCCCCAACTAACTTTTTTTAATTAATCAAAAACTATCAGTTCCAATCAGATTAGGTAAGATAGTCTTTTTATCTCCACCCTCCCAAGCTAATAGAATCAAGTTGAAGACATAGGATTCTCTCATTTCTAAATAAATGGTTTTTGAGAAATCTTTTTGGGTATTTCTTCCCCTTTCAAGATTACTCTGAATATCCTAATTACTTTGACTTCACTGCATAAGACATTGGAAAATGGAGGTGTATGCAGTGTGATTTACCAGTGCCTATTGTCTTCTTCCCGCAATCCTACCTAGTATCTGCCATTTCTGCCTTCCTAGGAGTCTAGGTTTAGTGTTTTGCTTTTACTTTTTTTAAAATACGTAATTCTAAAATACGAACTTTCACTTTGTTTCATCTTCTTTTCCTAGTTACTATTAGACTGTTATCTGTGTCTAAAACACTTTAATGACCTGTTTCTATTGGTTCTATTTCTTCTCTCTCATCTCATTCCTTAAACCCACCCACCCCCTTTTTTTAAGAGGTTTTTGCCTTAGTGTGTGTATGCTCCCCAGAGAGAAAGGGAGAGACAAAGATGATGAGGAAAAATGAGAAATCACGCCCTGGGGGAATGGCCATGCTGCAATCCCTTCTCTATTCTCCTCCCAGGACATTGGGTACACACGCGCCATGTTCCCAGCATGAGTTTCAAGCTACTGGGTCCAGGACTTGAACCACAGCTGGTCATGTAGGAGTCCAGTGACACAGCCACTATGCCATCTGCTGGCCTTTCCTTAACTTCTTCTAATTGGCTCATCTTCTTGCCACTTCTGAATTAAATTAACAATCAGCTTCTTCCTTATCAAATTCTGATGTTTCTTTGATGCTCTGATACTCTCCTGTAGGACTGCTACACCTTGACCCAAATACTTTTTTGTCTTCTCATAATTCTTGTTCGACTCTGAGTTTTAACCAGCCTCTTAAAGCTCTCCTTAAGAGGAATGCAACTTTATTGCTTTTAATTACTACTTATACTTCAATCTCTCTCATCTGCATTTGTATTCTAAGAGCCTTCATCTGATAAAATGTCTATTCTGGAATTTTCCCACTCGCTTCTGTAGCCATGTAGGCAGAAGGATCCCACTTGCTCACACAGCAGAAAATTCAAGAGCCGAGGAAGACCATCATGGGAAATAAACGACTTCTCATGGCACATGAACTGAGTGCTTACTGATTCTGGGCACCAGAGTAAGGGCTCTATGTGCACCATGTCATTTAACATTCACACCACCCTTAATGGCAGGCACTGCTATCTGCCCATCTACAGATAAGGAAATTACAGCTCGGAAGAGGTTAGTGATTTGTCCTACTCAGAGGCAGAGGTGAGGCTTGAAGCGGATACTAAAATGCACACTCTTTTCTTTTTTTAAAGATTTATATATTTAATTTTATTTATTCATTCACTTATTTTAGTTATTGGTTTCTTTCTTTTTTGAGGGAGAAGTTTTTGCTATAGAGCGCGTGTGCTCGCCAGAAAGATGGAGACAGAGAGACAGAAAGCAAGAAATCCCCCCCCAGGGAGGATGGCCACGACGCAATCCCTTCTCCATTCTCCTCTCGGGATCTTGGGCACGCACATATACACGCCTGGCAAGAGGTTAAGCCACTGGGTCTGGGACTCAAACTGCGGTCAACCACATGGGAGTCCAGCGACAGCCATTAACGTCAACTGCTGGTCCCCATTCATTTATTTAAATCTGACCAAAGAGAGACAACAGAAAAAGTGAGAAAAAGAGAAAGAAAGTGAGAAAGCAAGCATCCGGGTCCTGGACTTGAACCATGGCCAGTCATATGGGAATGTCTAGTGCCTTAACCACCATGCCGCCTGTGGGTCCCTGAAATGCACTCTTAGCTACTATTATAATGCCTCAAAAATTACTTAAGAACAGTGCTAACAAGGAACCTGCTGGGAGCATCTCTGATTTTCCAGCCTTGAATAACTCTTACCTGGAAGCAAACTAGGCCACAGAGGGCAAGAACCCGTCCTTTCATGCCACGGCTGAGCCAACCCTTTCTCCAAAAGTAGGCAGCAGGCAGGATGTATGCAAGGCCCACAATGCGACCCCACATTCGATGTGAGTACTCCATGTACCAGATGAACTTGAATTCTGCCAGTGTCATATCGTGGTTCAAGCTGGGTGAAATGAGAAGTCAAAAAAGAAGAGGAGACATCCAACCGACTTTTACTGCCCTAAGGAATGCACAGTCTAATCTTGTAGCTTGGTATGTCTGCTTTCTTCCTCATTAGTGACCTCAGCATGACTCTGAAACTGGAGGCTTAGGGGAGGCAGCTCACTAGCCATAACTGAACCAAAGATCAAGACATAAAGGAATCAGGCCCCGCTCTGTGGTGCAGTTAGCAGTGTACTGAGCTGCAGTGCTGGAAGCCACATGGCTGACTCTGGGTTTGGATCCCTGGTCTGGTTGTCCTGAAACATACCAGGCATGCTCATACATGCCCAAGATCCTGATGAATAGGAAGGCAGCAGTAGGTGATCGTAGTGTGATCAGACCCTGTTAAGGTTGGTTTTCCCACTCTCTCACACATGCATGTGCACCATCATCAGTAAAATAAACTTAAAATATAAAGGAATCTAACTATTCTAAAGAGCTGAAATAAGTAACATATTACATAGGTCTACTAGGTTGCTTATCTGATCTTCTCTAATACTTACATTTTAAATTCTGGAAATTGTTGGTATTTTTGGAATTCTGCTTCCCATTCCTCTTGGCTTGTAGGTGGTTTCATCTCCTTTATTAAATGCCAATCTACCATTGAGAGGCCAGACTCTGTCAGCCTTAGGATGGGAGAAAAATTGAGGGGTATGAATATGACGCTAGACGACTTGTAAATGGTTTACAGTAACAAGTGGATCTGAACTTAACCCTACTGGATACTATAGGTAAAAACACCATTTCATTATTTGCTCTTTTGACCTTTCTCTCTTGCTATTCAGAAACAGCTGCCACCAAGTACAAATTACTTTGCTCTTTTATTCTCTCAATCCTTTTTATCAACTCTTCCTACTTCTTTTTTTTTTTTTTTTTGAGAGATTTTCACTATAGGGCACGTGTGCTCGCCAGACAGACAGAGAGAGACATAGAGACAGAAAGCGAGAAATCACCCCCCAGGGGGGATGACCACACCACAATCCCTTCTCCTCCATTCTCCTCTCGGGATCTTGGGCATGCACGCACACGCGCCCGGCGTAAGTTTTAAGCCACCGAGTCCGGGACGCGAACCGTGGTCGACTACATGGGAGTCCAGCGACATAGCCATTACACTAACTGCTGGTTCCCATCTCTTCCTACTTCTTTTACTAGCATTCTTTGACAAGCACAATCAACTTTAGACCAAAGAAATGTGTCCTAAATGCATAACGAACATTCTTTACACAGGAAAGGCACTCATTACAGACATGCGGGTTTAGGTTCCTGAGTGAACTGAAGGACAATAAGACTCAAATGCTTCTCATTACAGCCTATGTAATACATAAGGTATTTTGAAATGAGGGCACAGGAAATATGCCCTTAAAAACACACGCACAGAGAACCAGCAGTTAACGTAATGACTATGTCACTGGACTCCCACGTAGTCAACCACGGTTCGCGTCCCGGACCCGGTGGCTTAAAACTTACGCCGGGCGCGTGTGCGTGCATGCCCAAGATCCCGAGAGGAGAATGGAGAAGGGATTGCGGCGTGACCATCCCCCCTGGGGGGTGATTTCTCGCTTTCTGTCTCTCTGTCTCTCTCTGTCTATCTGGCAAGAGCACGCGCCCTATAGTGAAAATCTCTCCAAAAAAAAAAAGAAAGTATCTTTACCAAGAGGAGTTGAGTTCCTACTGTAAAAGGCTGATTTTAGGCTTAAGGCAAGAAACATGTAAGACAGATCTGCAGTATCTTATACCAGAAAGCGAGGAAGCTCTGAAAGGTAACTAGGGCCCCATCCAAAAGCATTGGAGGCAATTTTACAGGATTCCAACTGATTTAGGATGGGACAATTTGAGCGAATCATCAATGCCATCATTACAAAGAGTCAAAACACACCAAACATGTTTAAACCTATAGTAATGATACTTAAACTCTTACATATTTTATTTGTAGCCCTTGAGGATCTTGGGAACCAACTTATTTTGAAAACTGTTAAGTAAAGGGAAAGAACCAAGTATTTATCCTGCCTTTCCTATACAAATTATACCTTAGGGTAACCAAATTTTTTTTTTTTGGAGAGGTTTTCGCTATAGGGCGCGTGTGCTCGCCAGACAGACAGAGACAGAGAGATAGCGAGAAATCAACCCCCAGGGGGGATGGCCACGTTGCAATCCCTTCTCCTCCATTCTCCTCTTGGGATCTTGGGCACGCACGCACACATGCCCGGCATGAGTTTTAACCCACCGGGTTCAGGACGCGAACCGTGGTTGACTACGTGGGAGTCCAGCGACATAGCCATTATGCTAACTGCTGGTCCCCAAGATAACCAAATTGTTGATGACAAAGTTTCCCTTTAGAGTTGAGCTAAAGGACCAGCAGAAGGCATAGTAGTTATGTTGCTGGATTCCCACATGGCTGACTGTGGTTTGAGTCCTGGCCCAGTGGCTTAAAAATCATGCTAGGTGTATGTGCATGCATGACCAAGATCCCAGAAGGAGAATGAAGGGAAAGGAATGGCGGTGTGGCTATCCTTTCTGGGGCGATTTCTAACTTTCCCTCTCACTATGTCTGTCTCTCTGGCACCCACCCTAAGACAAAAATTTCTTAAAAAACAAAAACTTTGCACTAATAAAATAGTATAATTTTGCAATCCAATGAAATAATGGATCTAGGCAATGGTAATTAATGGCTGTTAGCATCTGTACTAGACACAGACATTAATGTTCTAATCACCTATAAAGTATTTTGTCTCCTTGTCTCCAAACTGACTTTGACCAAGCAAATACTCATTTACTGGATACAGGGGACACTGGGGCATGCTACACATCCCCACAGATATGCAATCAGCAAGATCTAGACTGTGGGGTCCCCAAGACAAATGTCTTTGAGTTTCTTCAATGACCAAAAACAGCAAAAGGGGGGAGAAAGGAAAGTTGAAAACTATAAAGTTTCTTTATTAGACTTCAAGAGAGCTAAGAGACCAATGAACCAAGTGTGATGTGTAGAATTTACCTGGGCTTAATTCAAACAAACCGAAAAATAAAGTTCTGAGACAGACTGAAAACTCTGACTGGAGGGGGAAAATATACACAAATAATGCACAGCTACCAGCTAAAACCCAAATCAGACTTCACGAGAGGCTCCTACTAATACAACACGAAACTGTCCTTGGAGAGCAAGCCATCAGACAGATTCTCTCCTTAAGGCTTCAGCTTCTCCATATGTAAAATGAGGCAATTAGACACAATGGTCCCGAGGGTCCCTTCCTATTGTCATCCTGGGCTTCTACTGATGACCCCAAGTACATGACTCACTCTGAGCAAATTACTCACCGAGTAACCCCACCAAGAATAACCGCTCCAGCCACTGTTCCGCTGCACATCAGGAGCCATCGGCCCACCATCCGCTCAGCAGCCTTTGAGGGAAGCGACACAGTACCCCTTCCAGATTGCAAAGCAACCTCAGAGACGGTGCTGTACTGCCCTGGCCTCCAAGGGTGCCTGGTGCCATATGTGCAACCACACTAAGGATCAAGACACACAAATTACAACTGGAGAAACAAAGACTGCTACCCACCCTTGACCCGTCCTGGCTGGGTGAGGTACCCTGGATGGCTCCGTCTCCACAGCTATGGCCCTCGTAAACTCTCATTTCTTTTCTGGGTTAATGCATCACTTTCCACTGGTTTCCCTGCCTCAAGGTTTGCCTTACTCCCATCAACCCACACCTTCACTACCTGAATCTCCCGGTCTCTGAATACTTCCCCAGACTTCACTCTACACCTACATATAATTTTTTTTTTCTCCTCTGGGTGTTTAAACAGGACTTCTAACCAGAATCTTCCACTTTCCACCTCTTCTTCTGAGTGATAATATCTACTGCACATCTCAGCTTAGATGTCACCTCCTCTGGGAAGAAGTGTTCTCCGACTCTCCAAAGTGTACAGAGGGTAATTCTCAGCACACTGTACCTCCCCTATCACAGCCCTTAACACACTAGCATGTACCTTCCGGTTCCCTTGTCTGTGTCTCCCACTAAACCATGAGCTCCAGGCAACCGAGTCTGGTCAATCTTGCCTATTCCTTCATACCTTTGCTTCTAACACTCTTCCCTTACATATGGAGACCTTAATAAGGATCGGATAAACAAATGAACAAATAATGAAATGCAGCTTCTTCCAAGGCAAGAGCTTTGTGTTTTATTTCCTTTCTTTTCCCAATTGCTAATACATAATAGTCACTTATAACTCCTAGTTAAGAGAATACATGTCCTTGTCTAACTCCCTAGGAGTCCAAATATTCATGTTCCGTTTCCTACTTCTAATTAACTTTAGACAAATATTTTTTTAAAACTTAGCTTCAATCTCCTGCTCTGCTGTATGGGTTTATAGTTCTTTTATAGTTTTTTTTTTTTTTTTAGATTTTCACTATAGGGCGAACTTAGCTTCAATCTCCTGCTCTGCTGTATGGTGTTTATATTTTTTTTATATTTTTTTTTTTTTTTTAGATTTTCACTATAGGGCGCACGCTCTCGCCAGACAGAGAGAAACAGAGACAGAAAGCGAGAAATCACCCCCCAGGGGGGATGGTCCCGCTGCAATCCCTTCTCCTCCATTCTCCTCTCGGGATCTTGAGCACACACGCACACGCGCCCGGCGTGAGTTTTAAGCCACCGGGTCCGGGACTCGAACTGCGGTCGACTACGTGGGAGTCCAGCGACATAGCCATTACCCTAACTGCTGGTTTCCTGGGTTTATAGTTCTTAACTTGACTACTTGTGGGCTTTCATCAAAAATAAAATATACTTGGGGCCAGCAAGTGGCAGGGTGATTAAAGCGCTGGACATGGCTGACTGCCCCTGAGTCCTGGACCTTGCAGCTTGCTTTCTCACTTTCCCTTTTTCTGTCCCTCTCTGGTCAGATTAAACAATGAGTAAAATTAAATGAAGAAAAACAGACACGGACAAAAAAAATTACTGAAATTTTGGGGCAAATAGTGTGGTTAGGGTGCTGGATCCTCATAGGGCCAAACCCGCACCTGGTGACTTACTTTCCCATTTTCCCTCTCTGGTAAGCGCATGTGCCCCAGAAGAATTTTTAAAATAATAAAAATTAAAGTAACTTTTTATAAAAACTAGTGAGGTTTTACTATGTGCTAAAAGCTTGCTATATTCATTTAACCTTCACAACTTAATGAAGTAGGTACTGTCTTCCCCCATTTAAAAAATAAGGACGCGGAGGCACAGAGAGGTAAAATAATTTGGTCAGCTATTACAAAACCGCTAGCAAGCCGTAGGTCGCGCTCCAAACCCGAGGGCTCCGGACACACGGAAATGTGCAGTAAACGGTGAGGAGCTACGGAGGCGAGCTGCGGGGCGCGGGGCTCTCCGGCCCTTTCGCCCAGTCCCTGCTCCTGCGCCCCGGAGCCCGCGTCGCAGCGGTACCTGAGCTCTACGCGCCGCCCTAGGAGCCAGGAGCTGGAGACACGAGCTCCCCATCAAGGCCTTCACGGGCATAAGGCACAGCCGCTGCATCGTGGCCGAGGCACGCAGCGGCCCCAGGACCAGCCCACTCTCGCCTGTCTCCCTTCTCCGCTACCGAAAGGAAAGGCACTTCCGGGTCATGCAGCGGAGCCCCGCCTCTCGGGAGGCGGGGCGAGCACCGACGGCGCCTGCGCCTGCGCCGGCGACTCTGCTTTCGCGGGGCCTGCTGGGGCGTGGGCATCGAGGGCGCGCTCGGGCGCGTGCAGCCGTTGGGGACGCGCTTCTCTGGTCGCGCGCGCGTCTGGACTCGGAGTGGAAACCGAAGGCTCACGGAGGAGGGCGCGCAGCATGAAGAGGCAGGGGGCGTCCTCCGAGCGGAACCGGGCGCGGATGCCGTCTGGGAAGGCCGGTGCGGAAGGTGGGGGGCGAGGGGGCGGTCGGCCGACTCTGCTCCCGGGTGGGCCGGCGGGGTCCTGGCCCGGCGAGGTTCCCTTCAGTAGTTCCCTAAGCTCCCCACTGCCGATTGCGCTCCACGTGCTGTATTTGCGGCTGTAAACTTGCGGACCCAGGGCAGGGAGCGAGAGCGGCCCCATTGCAGGGGTTCGAATCCGGCGCCCCCAAGTACAGCCGTGCTACTTTGGGCAAGTTGGTTAATTCGCACAGCCTCCCGTTTCCCAGCCCCGCGAGAGGACACGCGGTCCCACCTCTCGGCGTCGCCCGGCTAGAGCGCGGAGCCCCGTGCACACCTCTCGTGACTGCCTAGTAACCTGCATCCTCTGCCGCGGGGGTGGGAATTGTCCCCAATGCCACACAGCTACGAAGTGGCAGAGCTTGTGGCTGCTCCAGGTCCCAAGTTCTTCCTCCCCGCCAGGATGAGAAGTCATGGCAAGAGCCAGAGAATTTGGCAAAAACTTCCTCTTCCTCCCCAGCAAACTCGGTTCCTCCAAATCAGCATTTCCCAAACTGTAATCTGGGTATCCATTTACCCTCCGGAAAGTTACTGCGAACCTCAAAGACCTGACCTTTCTGTGGATTATATCTATCGATTTTGACCGTATTGGGTATTAAAACAAACTTCTAAAATACGTAGTGATTGAGTAACTAGAAAACGACCATAATAAACTCATTACATGTTAACATAAGTAACATAGTCTTATGAAAAGTAAATATTCCTAAACAAAACAAAAAATAGCAAACGAGTGGTAGTGCTTTATTTCTTTGCAATTCTCTAATATCTGGCTGAATGAAAGACAGCCGGATTCTCATACCTGCTTCTACATTCATGCTATCAAGGCGCTTTCCAAACACGCCAGAATGAGCATGAAAAAGGCAAATAAAGGATTAGTATTGTGGAAATCATTCATTCCATGGACTCTAAAAGGGTTTCAGAGCCCCCCAAAGCTCTTGGACTACCACACTGAGAATTGATATATCAAATGTCGTCTTTGGTCCCCATGAAGACCTTTGTGTCTTAGGACACTCGCCTTCCTTTGCCGTCTTTCCTAGCCATTGGTACATCTCCCCCTCTCCTGGCCAGGATCTTGTCTTTGTGGGACAAAGAGTGCTTAAAACACATTGTCCAGCTTCGTTGATCCACAAGCTGGTGTGGTAGTTCTCAGGGAACTGCCAGAGTTATGTTCTGTAACCTATGAGCACAGAGTGATACTTATGCCTCACAGTTTAGGACTATTTTTTAAAATAAATAACGCAGTTGCAGTTTGATGTTAGTAGATGACAGGTTTTTTTTTTTGGAGAGATTTTCATTGTAGGGCACGTGCGCTCGCCAGACAGACAGAGGGAGACATAGAGACAGAAAGCGAGAAATCACCCCCCAGGGGGGATGGTCACGCCGCAATCCCTTCTCCTCCATTCTCCTCTCGGGATCTTGGGCACGCACGCACACGCGCCCGGCATGAGTTTTAAGCCACCGGGTCCGGGACACGAACCGCGGTCGACTACGTGGGAGTCCAGCGACATAGCCATTACGCTAACTGCTGGTTCCCTAGATGACAGGTTTTAATTTTTTTTTCCAAAATGAAAATTTCTTTATTATAAAAGCAATATTGAGTAGAAAAATTCAAGCAATATAGAAAAGTAATAAAGTCAAAATAATTCCAAATCGCACCATGCGGTAGTAGCCATTATCAGTATGTGGTAAATTCTTTCAGGTATCATTCGATGAAGTATGCATTCAGTATTCTTTTTTTAATTTGCTAAAGGGTGTATGTGTTCCTGAGAGAGAGAAGGAAGGTGAGAAAGCACCTCCTTGGGGGATAGTCATGCTGCAATTCCCTCTCCTCCATTTCTCCTTCTAGGATTTTAGGCACGCATGCACATGTGACCAGCATGTTTTTCAAGCCATTGGTCTGAGACTTGAACTGTGCTTTTGTCCATGTGGGATTCAACCACCTTAGTTACCATGCCACTGGTTGGCACCAATTTTTTCTTTTTAGGTTTTTGCCAGAGGTGCATATACTCGCCAGAGAGAGACAGATAGTAAGAGGGAAAGTGAGAAATCACCCCCTTCAAAGGGAATGGCCATGGCGTGTTCCCTTCTCCTCCGTTCTCCTCTCAGGATTTTGGGCACTTGTGCACACACGCTTGGTGTGATTTTCAACCCATCAAGTCTGGGACTTGCCTGTTGGCACCACTGTTCTTTTTAGAGAGAGATTTTTTGCTATATAAGGGTATGCTTGCTGAAGACACAGAGACAGAAAGCCAAGAATCACCCCCTGATGGGGGATGGCCACACCTCAGTCCCTTCTCCATTCTCCTCAGGAGTTTGGATAGTGCACACACGCTTGGTGTGATTTTCAACCCATCAAGTCTGGGACTTGCCTGTTGGCACCACTGTTCTTTTTAGAGAGAGATTTTTTGCTATATAAGGGTATGCTTGCTGAAGACACAGAGACAGAAAGCCAAGAATCACCCCCTGATGGGGGATGGCCACACCTCAGTCCCTTCTCCATTCTCCTCAGGAGTTTGGATATGCCAGCACATGGCCACACCTCAGTCTCTTCTCCATTCTCCGAAGGAGTTTGGATTGCCAGCACACATACCCAGCATGAGTTTCAAGCCCCTGGGTCTGGGGCTCTAACAGCGGTTGACCATGTGGGAGTCCAGTGCCTTAACCTCGCTGTCACCTGCTGGCCCCAAGCACCACTATTTTTTTTTTAAGAGAGATTTTTGATTTTTGTTATAGGGCACATGTGCTTGCCAGAAAGACAGAAAGCAAAAAATCACCCCTGAGGGAAATGGCCACATCTCAATCCTTTCTCTTCCATTCTTGTCTTGGGATTTGGGGCACACACGCACACACTGCCGCCATGCGTGTTAAGCCACTGGCCCAGGACTCGAACTGTGGTTGACCACGTGGGAGTCCAGCAACATAACGGTTACGCCCTGCTGGTTTGTACCACTACTTTTTTGCTTTTGGAGAGTTTTTTTCCTTTGTTTTTGCTACAGGGCGTGTGCTCACCAGAAAGACAGAGAGAGACAGAAAGCAAGAAATTACCCTCCAGGGGGGATGGCCACACCACGGTCCCTTCTTCTTTCTCCTCTTGGGATCTTGGGCACTCAGGCACACGTGCCTGGTGTGAGTTTTAAGCCACCTGGTCTGGGACTCGAGCCACAGTCAACTACATGGGAGTCCAGCGACATAGCCATTACACTAACTGCTGGTCCCAGTACCACTATTCTTAATGAAAAAAATTATGTACTTACAGAAAGAACTCAAAACTGATTACAGCTCACTTTCATATAAATACATGAATTTTTATTCAGCCTTTTAGTAAATATTTGAGGATTGTGTACCATGTTAGACACTGCTGTGGGTGATGATAAAGACCTTGCTTAGGAACGTTAGTCAAGTAAAAGTGATCAGACACGTATCTCAAGGTAATAAGAGAGACAGTTATAAAGAGAAACATTTAATTCATGAGAAGTTGGGTGAAATCAAAAGAAGATACGATTTCCTGCTTTGGGAGAGAAAAATGGAAATGTGATTTGAAAAACCTTGGAAAATGTTAGCACTCAAAGATATAAGCTGGGAGGACTTGGGTGGAAGAGATGGCAGAAGCCAGGGCAGGAATGGGGATTGGAGAGAACTGAGCATAAAGAGGATACAACATATAGTTTATTAGTGATAACTAACAATTTTTTAATTGTTAGTGAATACTGTGTACTTTAGGTAAATGAGCTCATTTAATCCTTACAATTCTGAGTTAGGTACTAAAACTTACCCTGTAAAGAATTTGAAATGTTCTTCATGCATTGAGAAGCATCTGAGCTGATAGGTGTGTTTTAGGAAGATTGATTTGGCATCCAGTATAATTTTTCCACAGTATAATTTCTTTTTTTTTTTTTTGAGATTTTTTTCGCTATAGAGTGCGTGCGCTCGCCAGACAGACAGACAGAGACAGAGAGACAGAAAGCGAGAAATCACCCCCCAGGGGTGATGGTCACGCAGCAATCCCTTCTTCTCCATTCTCCTCTCGGGATCTTGAGCACACACGCACACGCGCCCGGCGTAAGTTTTAAGCCACCGGGTCCGGGACGCAAACCGCGGTCGACTACGTGGGAGTCCAGCGACGTAGCCATTACGCTAACTGCTGGTTCCCCACAGTATAATTTCTTCATATATCTGTATACCTATTTTACAGTCCAAAGATACCAATTTAATAGTATGGTGTTATATGTATTCATGGTCCTTTGTGTACTTAACTATTTCCCTATTATTGGACATTTGGATTTGGGCAGCAAAATGTAAAATATTTGTGGAAATTGATCTGGATGGTAGTACCTTCATGAATTTGCATGTATTTTAGGAGCGGCAAATGGATTTCTCATGGAAGTGTGTGTTGATTCAGTGGAGTCAGCTGTGAATGCAGAAAGAGGAGGTAAGAGAAATTAGAGAATGAGTGACATTGACAACTCCTAGGAGTCTGAAAATGAATCCTGTGAACTCACGTTGGACATCTTGGATACCACTGTGATTTCTAAGGAACTTAGTAATACTTTCAAAAACAACCAACCTGAAAATTATAGTCTAGTCTCTCCTCTCCCAAGCATATCACATTTTGAGTCAAGTGTCCACAATAGTGCTTACCAACTTCATTATTTTTATTTTTTTGAGTTTTTTGCTACAGGGTGCATGTGCTCACCAGAAAGAGAGAAATAGACAGAAGGCGAGAAATCACCCCCTGGAGGAATGGCCACGCCGCAATCCCTTCTCCATTCTCCTCTGTGGATCTTGGGCACGAACGGACATGTGCCCAGTGTGAGTTTAAGCCACCAGATTCAGGACTCGAACTGCGGTCAACTACATGGGAGTCCAGTGACATAGCCATTACGCTAACTGCTGGTCCTGCAACTTCATTTTTATTGAACACAGGAAAATTTTAATTTTTTCAAATTACTTAAAGATAATTTCAGAGATTTTCATTATTATCTTTTTTTTTTTGAACATTATTTACTAGGTTGTTTTAATAGGAAGCATTTCCATTTCAGAAAAGTTCTTAATATTATTGAAAAATTTCAAACATATGTTCAAAGTAGAAAGACTAGTATAAACAACAGCCATTTCACTTGGCTTCAACTAGTTTCAGCATGTGGCCAGTCTTTCATTTACATCAGCATTTATTTCATTTACTTTTTTTTTTTTTTGAGAGGTTTTTGCTATAGAGTGTGTGCGCTTGCTAGACAGACAGACAGAGCCAGAAAGCAAGAAATCCCCCCCCCCGGGGGGGATGGCCATGCCGCAATCCCTTTTCTTCCATTCTCCTCTCAGGATCTTGGGCACGCACGCATACGTGCCCGGTGTGAGTTTTAAGCCACCAGGTCCGGGACATGAACCGCGGTCGACTACCTGGGAGTCCAGTGACATAGCCATTACGGTAACTGCTGGTCCCTCATTTACTTTTTTCTGTAAGACCCATATCACATATATTTTCAGCTTTGCTGGACACATTTGGTCTTTGTCATTTATTCTTCTTAATTTTTAAAAACAATACTTTTGAAAAATAAAAACCCTTCTTAATCTGACAAGAAAGAAGTACTGATACATGTTATAACATAGATGAATCTTGAAGTACTCTTCTAAGTGAAAGAAACCAACACAAAATTGTACATATTGTCTGATTCTGTTTATGTGAAACATCCAGGATGGGCAACTTTATGAAGACAGAAAGCAGATTAGTGGTGCCTAGGGCTTAGAGGCAGGGGAAGAAGAGAAGGTGACTAAGGGTGTGGGTGGTTTGGGGGTAATGAAAATGTTCTAAAATTCATAGTGGTGATGGTTGTAAAACTTTATACTAAAAAGCACTGAATTGCACACTTTAAAGGGATGAATTGTATGACACATGATTTATGTGTCGATAAAACTGGTTTTTGTGGCCAGAGGATATGTGGCAGTTGCTAGAGAGAGAACCACCCCGTGAGTTGTAATCACACTGTAATTTTTCCTGTTCTTCTTTTCTGTTAAGACTTTGGGCATGCATGTATATATGCCTGGTGTATTTTTCAAGCTACTAGGGCTGGGTTTTGAACTATGGTTGGCCACATAAGAGCCATCTGCCTTAACTGCCGTGCCACCAGGCTGGAATGAACAAAGCTGCTATTACTTTTCAGTTTGCTATAGGGCACATGCACTTGCCGGGGAGAGAGGGAGAGAGAGGAAGAGAGAGAGAGAGAGAGACCACTCCCAGCCCCCCCCCGGGGGGGGGGGGTGGCCATACAGCGGTGCCGCCTTCTCCATTCTCTTAGAGATTTGGGGCATGCACGTTCCTGGTGTGTCTTCCAAGCTGCCAGGTCTGGGACTGAAACTGCACAGTTAGCCCTGTGGGATCCAGCTACCTTAACCACATGCCACCCGCTGGCCCCTCAGCTGTTATCTTCTTAGCTCACAGGCCATCACAAAAACAAGCTGTGGACCTTTGGTTGAGGGCCATAGTTTGCTGATCTGATTGATATTTCTGCCTTCTCCTAACCTCAGGTTCTTTCGAGTAAAAGCCCAGACATCGTGTCATTTCATCCTTGAGCTCTTTGTTGTTTCAATTCGTTATCATTTTCAAAGCACTTATGTATATCCGTATAGCCCCAAATCCATGAATGTGGAAATTATTAATGTATATAACTTAAGTTATGTAATATAGGACTAAATGACACCACATATATGCATACAATCAACAAAACAGAATGTGGGATACACTAAAAGGTGAACATCACAGTTTCTTTAATAAACTAGAAAAGAATTAAAGGAAAAAAGAAAGGAAAATTTATAGATTGAAGGAACTTAACAGATTATCAAATAAAGGACTCTTTAAAAGAAGAGCTCTTGGGACCAGCAGGTGCTGTGGTGGTTAAGATGCTGGACATTCCCACATAGCCGACCACGGTTCAAGTCCTGGACTTACTGTCTTGCTATCTTGCTTTCCATCTCTCTCTGTGTCTCTGGTCAAATTAAAATAAATTAATGAATAAATAAAATTAAATAAATAATTTTAAAAATAAATTCTTTAAAAATAACCACAATGTCACTAACATACCTTAGAAAAATAATAATTTTTTTAAATTTTTTTTAGAGAGATTTTTGTTATAAGGCGTGTATGCTCGCTGGAGAGACAGAAAGACAGCAAGCAAAACATCACCCTCCAGTGGGGATAGCCACGCTGCAGTTTCTTCTCCTCCCTTCTCCTCTTGGGATTCTGGGGATGCATGTATGCATGTACACATGCCCAGTGTGAGTTTGAAGCTGCTAGGTCTAGGACTTGAACCACGGTCAGCTGTGTGGGAGTCCAGTGCCTTAACCACTATGCCACCTGCTAGCCCCAGTAATAATTATTTAAAATCATCAAATACCCATCCAATTGTCAGATTTTTCTACTTTGGTCATACATAGTTTTTTGTTTGTTATTTGGGTTTTCTTTTCTTTTTTAAAGTAGAATTTTATTTAACTTTATTTATTTACTATTTTAATTTGATCAGAGAGGGACAGAGCGAGAGTGAGAGAGAGGGGGAAAGTGAGAAAGCAAGCTGCCAGGTCTTGAACTCGAATTGCAGTCAGCCATGTGGGAGTCCAGTGCCCCAACCACATTGCCATCTGCCGGCCCCATTATTTATGTTTTCTCAAATCGTTTTTTTTAATCAGGAGCCAAACATTTTATTGATTTGATAGTCTGTTTAGTCTCCTTCAATCTATAAATTTCTCTCCTTTTTTCTTTAATTCTTTTCTTCTAGTTTATTAAAGAAACTGATGTTCATCTTTTAGTGTATCCCACATTCTCAGTTTTGTTGATTGTATGCATATATGTGGTGTCATTTAATATGTCCTGTTATGCATTATTAATTATATATATATTACATAATATATAATACTATGAAATATACAAAAAATATTATAATAATGTAAGTACATATAATATTAACAGTGTCCTCTGACCCTATATTTCTAGTAAATCTGTAGTTAACCCAAAGGCTTAATCAGATTCCGATGGGAGTTTTGACAAAACTACTTTATACATTGTGTACATCTTGTTGCATTGCATCAGGAAGAACTAACGTCTTGTTTTTTTTTATTTTTTTGTGATAATAAGATTGATCAGTGGACTCATGTATTGCTAGCCTGATCCATCCTTTATAAGGCTTTTTGTCAACTTTTCAGTTTTACTTTCGGTAACCTACATATTTTTAAAAATTTGCCATGGAGCATGTGCACTCTCCAGAGTGAGACAGAGGGAGAGGGCAGGGGAATGAGAAGGCACCCCCAGGAGAGATGGCCACATTGCAGTCCCTTCTCTGTTCTCTTGGGACATGCACCTGGTGTGTGTTTTAAACTGCTGGATCTGGAACTCAAGCTGCACTCTTAGCCACCTTAACCGACAGATCACCAGCTGGCTGGTAATCTGTATTTTAACAGGGAGTGCAGAATGGTAATATACTAAGCCTAACATCCCTTAGCTAGGGTACGTCTAGAAAGAAGTTCACTTTTGGGTATACTGAAATTCAGTCTGTTTAAGAAAGGCGAGGTAAATGCTGGTTTCTTCTCTATTTACTAATGTTTAAATGATGGGTTTGCTAAGCTTCAGTGGGTCATTTTATCCCTGTGAACTAAATGTAGACCTTTTTTCTTCCTTTACACATGATGGAGAGTATGTGTGTACATGTGAGACAGAGAGAAAGGAACGCCCTCCGTAAGGGCTGGTGGCTACACCACCCTCCCCTTCCTCCAGGCTTTCAGCCCATCGGATCTTGGGCACTCATGTGTGCTGCAGGCATGCTTCAGGCTGACCAGGGCAGGGACTTGAACCATGGTCACTGTGAGACTAGCTCCTCTCGAGGCATGTTACTGTTACGCCATGGAGCCAGCCTGATTTTAGGCATAGTTCATGTATTTGAATTCATTGTAGTTATTCAGTTTATTGATGTTCAAAACGTCCTCTCATTGGCCTGTGAGAGCCTCTTCAAGGTGGCTCCTGAGGCCCTTCGACATGACCCCAATAGTCTGATAGTTCTGCTGTCAGCATCTTCTTACTCTTGATTTAGCTACTCAAAAATAACTGCATTTTTTTAAAGCTTGGGATAGTAAACTCTTCTGGAAAAGATACGTGTTTTTTGTTGTTGTTGTCTTTTTGTTGTTGTTTTATCAGTGAAGAGTCAGCATTCTACTGTGGTCAATCCAGAAACATCTTTATTCTGAGTCACTTCTTTGTGCATGGAGAGGCAACCTATAATACAGAATTTTAACTTAACTTGAACTAACTCTTAAATTTGACAGTCAGTAACACAGTGTGGGTTGCAGACTAATTTAAATTAAGAACAGAGTTTTACTTTAGTTTTATAATTTTATTTCTCTCAGGTGATTTATAAGACTTTGGTTCTATACTTGAAAAAATGTAAACTGCTATTTAATAAAAAGGTTTTTTTTTTTTTTTAAATGTATGTATTGAGCAATGCTATTTTATTACAGGTGCTGGTCGGATTGAATTATGTTCTGGTTTATTGGAGGGAGGAACCACACCCAGCATGGGTAAGGATTTTTTTTTTTTGGAGAGGTTTTTGCTATAAGGTGCGTGCATTCGCCAGACAGAGACAGAAGGAGAGCAATCGCCCCCCCAGGGGGGATGACCACGCCACAATCCCTTCTCCTCCATTCTCCTCTCAGGATCTTGGGCACGCACGCACACGAGCCTGGCCTGAGTTTAAGCCACCGGGTCCGGGACTCGAACCACAGTCGACTACATGGGAGTCCAGTGACATAGCCATTACACTAACTGCTGGTCCTGACACAGAGTTTCTTATAGGAGTTTATAGCACCCTGGAAAAACTGATAAGTAGTTTCACTAGAGTCCTTAACAAGTCTTATATTAATTGTGTTATGGATATTATATCAATAAATGGTTATGGCTGCAAATAACAAAATCAAATAATTGATTAAACATTTTTTTACTCAGACATCAACATGAAATTTAGGTTGTTGCTGATAGTATGGGTTCAGCGTCTCTGCAGTGACATCAAGAATCAGATTTTTTTCTTTTTTTCTGAAGTTAATTTGTGTATATCCTCCATGGGCAAGAAAGACAGAGACACCACCCACAATAAGGTATAAGGTCCTTACAGTGCAATCCATACTGGTTTATTCCTGGAGCGCAGGGCCCTCCTATGAGAGTCGGCCTGGAAGAAGGTATTCGTGTTCCCGGTGCACCGCCGCCCAGGGCTTTGATCAGCCCTCCTGTGCTGGCGTCCTTAGTATACTGACTTTTGTCTCATTTTCTCCTCTTCTAGTCTCTGTGCTGTCCTTACCATACTTGTTATTTCTGCATCTGTCGAAAGCCCCATGCTGCATTATTATTGGTGTTTGAAGAGTCAGTTATCTTTTCAAGAGATTTAAATAAGTAAACAATTATTTTTACCTATGCATAGTTATCATTTTAGGTGTTCTTCATTCTTTTGTATAGATCTAAATTTCCACGTAGTTTAATTTTCCATCTGCCTAAAATACTTCTTTTGACTTTTTTTTTTGTAGTACAAGTGTGCTGGTGGTTAATTCTTTCAACTTTTATGTGTCTGAAAATGTCTTTCTCATTCATTCATTTATTCATTTTTCTTTTTTCTTTGAGAGGTTTTTGCTATAGGGTGTGTGCACTCGCCAGACAGCCAGAAACAGACATAAAGTGAGAAATCACCCCCCGGGAGGGGTGGCCACGCCGCAGTCCCTTCTCCTCCATTCTCCTCTCAGGATCTTGGGCACGCAGGCACACACGCCCGGTGTGAATTTAAGCCGCCGGGTCCAGGACTTGAACCTCGGTCAACTACATGGGGGTCCAGCGACATAGCCATTACACTAACTGCTGGTCCCATCTTTTTCTTTTTTTAAGGAGATTTTTGCTATAGGGCTCATGTGCTCTCCGGAGAGACAAAGAGAGACAGAGAGGCAGAAAGCGAGGAATCAGCCCCCAGGAGAGATGATCATGCCACAGTCCCTTACTTCCATTCTCCTCTTAGGATTTTAGGTACGCACACACATGTGCCTGTTGTGAGTTTTAAGCTGCCAGGTCTGAGACTTGAACTGTGGTCTACTACGTGAGAGTCCCGCGACAACCATTACACCATCTGCTGGTCCCGAGATTTGGCTCTTTTAACTTCCAGGCTATGGGACTGGCCCTTAAGATTTATTCTTTTTTTTTCTTTTGAGAGATGAGAGAGATTGTTGCTATAGGGTGGATGTGCTTGTCAGAGACACAGAGAGACAGAGATTTCACCCTCCCCTGCCCCAGGGGGGATGGCCATGCTGCAATCCCTTCTCCTCCATTCTCCTCTCAGGATCTTGGGCACGCACATACACATGCCCATTGTGAGGTTTAAGCCACCAGGTCCAGGACTTAAACTGTGGGCGACTACGTGGGAGTCCAGCAACTTAACCATTACGCCATCTGCTGATCCCTACTCCTGGTTTTAAACAATTTGCTTATGATGGACCTGAGTATAGTTTTCTGTGTGTTTCTTGGTACACTTTATCACATTTGGGAAATTTTCAGAATGTGTTGTCTTTCACTTCCTCCTACAGAGAGTTCAGTTATACTTACTGTCTTAGTCTGTTTTCTGCTGCTAGGACTAAATACAGAAGGATAACTTATAAAGAATAGAGGGATATTTGGAAGGCAGAAGACATGCATGTAGAGACAGCAAACATGTGAGCCCCCATTTCCATCGTGCCGCATTCTTTCATGACTTGTCTAATCCTAATTACTTCCTAAAGGCCCCACCTGCAAATACCATCAACAATTTTTTAAAGAATTATTTTATTTAACTTTATTTATTTATTTGTTTATTTTTAATTTGACCAGAGAGGGACAGAGTGAGAGACAGAGAAAGTGAGAAAGCAAGCCCCTAAGTCCAGGACTCAAACCGTGGTTGGCTGTGTGGGAGTTCAGCACCCTTATCCACCATGCCACTTGCTGGCCCCGCCATCAACAGTTTTCACCACATGAAATTTGGGGGACACATTCAAACTATAGCACATATATTAGACTGCTTAAAATTGTCCCACAGCTTTTTAAACCTCTTTTCTGCATTCCATTTTGCAAAGTTCCTATTGTTTTATCAACTTTACTAATCTTCTACAATGTCTAATGTGCTATTAATCCTACCTTGTGCGTTTTTCATTTTATGAATTCTGGATTTTATTTTTTTTCCCCCATAGGGCATGCATAATCATCAGAGAGAGACAGAGAGAGAGTGAGAAGTCACCCTCCAGGGGCTATTGCCATGCCACAGTCCCTTCTTTACTGCTGTCCTTAGGATTTGGGGCACACATGCATACGTACCTGGTGTCCTTAACCAGAAATTTAATTTGAATTTGTTTTTATATTTTTCATGTTTTTTCTTAACTTTTCTGAATATGTAGAATAAAGCCGTAAAAGCTGTTTTAATAACCTTGCTAATTCTCAGTTTGTTTCATTTTATTGGTTGATTATCTCATGTTGTATGTTATTTTCCTCCCTGGTAATTTTTTATTGAACACAAGACATGATGAACTTTACATTATTGGTGATGAGATATTGTTATATTCCTATAAATATTTTTGAGTAGTTAGGTTACTTGAAAATGACAGTCCTTTCAGGCCTTGCTTTTAAGATTGGTTGGGCTAGTCTAGAGCACTGGTTAATCTAGAGCTAATTATTATCCCCACTGGGGCAAAACCCTCCTTCGCCCCCCATCCAGTGCCCATGAATCTTGAAGTTCTCCTGCCTGGCTTTGGGAGCAGGGATTCTTCCAGCGTGGCATTAGTGACGGGCACAGCCAGCTCGATGGCTCTTTCCCGGTCCTCGCGTAGTTTCTTTGTGTGCGTGCTCCAGTTGGTACTCAGTGAAGATTATCGGAGGTTCTCTCTGCAGGTCTCGAGTTCTCTTTCCTCCCTAGCACTCTCCTGCAGGCTCTATCTTGGTTTCCCTAGACTCTCAGTTCTGTCTCCTCAGATTAGGGAGTTCTCTGGGCTCTGCCTGGGTTCCCTCTCCCTATGCTGTGGCCTGGAAGTTGTCAAGGCAGTAAACTGGAACTGTCACAGAGCTCACCTCACTCACTTCCCATCTGGCGGATCGTTGTCCTTTGTGCTTGGTGTGTTACAAACCATTGTTTCATATATTTTGTCCGTTTCTTGGTTATTATAGACAGGAGGGTAAATCCAGTCTTTATTACATGGCTTTGGCCAAAAGTAGAAGTCCCTCTGTGAATTTTTTTTTTTTCCTATAGGGCGTGTGTGCTCGCCAGAAAGAGAGAGAGACAGAAAGCAAGAAATCACCCCTGGGGGGATAGCCACGCTGCAATCCCTTCTCCTCCATTCTCCTCTTGGGATCTTGGGCACGCACACACACGTTCCCAGCATGAGTTCAAGCCACCGGGTCTAAGACTTGAACTGCGGTTGACTACATGGGAGTCCAGCGACATAGCCGTTATGCTAACCGCTGGTCCCTTTTTTCTTTTTTTTTTTTTTTTTTTTTTTTGAGACCTCTATGAACTTTTCGACTCCTAAATTATACAACTCTGAGGTTGATGGCAGCATTACTTAGTATAAAAGTCATACATACACAATATACCTTCGGAGTCTTACCACTAAAAGAGGACATTTCCTGGCCATTCTAAAACCCTGGACCTTACCTGTATGCTTGAGTGAAATCTGGTTTTTGCAGTACGAGTCACGATGCATTACTTGGTTTGGGGCACAGTGCTATACCGTGTAAAATCGGGATTCTCTTAGCAAGGAAGAGGAAATTCATTGGGTAAACAACTACAGATCTTAATACTGTTGAGAATTTCTCAGCTAGCCACATATTGCATCATATTTAGGCACTTTTGTTTTCCTTCTGTTTTTACTACAGGACACATGTGCTTGCTGGATAAAGGCAAAAAGAGAGGAAAAGAGAAATTGCTTCCCCGGGACGGGGGGTGGCCATGTTACAGTCCCTTCTTGCATTTCTTCTGGAAGTAATGTCCAAGAGCAGAAGTAAATGACTCGGCATTTTACTGACGTCCTGCAGCGTTCAGCTCACATTTGAGTTTCAGTATGCCTTCTTTTCTTGTAGGTATCCTTCAAGTAGTGAAGCAGAGTGTCCAGATCCCAGTTTTTGTGATGATTCGGCCACGCGGAGGGGATTTTTTATATTCAGATCGTGAAATTGAGGTGATGAAAGCTGACATTCAACTTGCCAAGCTCTATGGTGCTGATGGTTTGGTATTCGGGGCGCTGACGGAAGATGGACACATTGACAAAGAGCTGTGCCTGTCCCTTGTGGGTAAGCGCTTGTGTCTGAGACTAAAAACCTCTGTGGTGATTGTATTTATGCTCCTGGTACAGAAAAACGTCATAACAAAACTGACTTTCTAGTCATACGTGCAGGCGCATAGACTAACATAACTATTCTTTTTCTTTTTTTTTTTTTTGTACTTTAAAAATGGTTTTATTTCATGTGCAAATAATAGACAGGTGTTCTACCCATAAATTCTCTTTTCCCAAAACAATTTGGAAGTTTTTTTTTTTTTAAAAAAACGAAACCAGGGGGACCAGCAGTTAGCGTAATGGCTATGTCGCTGGACTCCCATGTAGTCGATCGTGGTTCAAGTCCCGGACCCAGTGGCTTAAAACTCACACTGGGCGCGTGTGTGTGTGTGTCCATATCCTAAGAGGAGAATGGAGGAGAAGGGATTGTGGTGTGACCATCCCCCCTGGGGGGTGATTTCCTGCTTTCTCTCTGTCTCTGTCTGTCTGGCGAGCGCACGCGCCCAATAGCAAAAACCTCTCCCCCCCACCCCCCAAAAAAAAGAAAAAAAAAAAATGAAAACCACACAAAAAATTTTAAAAGGTACTGGAATTCCTCTGTTTCTAAATCATGGCTAGGCTAGAAACATAAAGCTTATCTGGTGTACCAGGGATCACAAGTTAGAAGTGAGTACTGTCAAAGTGTAAATTATACAGTCTAATGCCATTACAGCAAAGATTATGCCACTCTCGTCCTCAACATCCACGCGCCTCTCAGAACAGTTAAACCAGGTCAAGACAGTCCAGCATACTAGGCTTTGTTACATAAGGCCATTATGTTCTTCTAAGAGGCTAATAAACCAAAACAAGAAACACTGAAATCAAAATAAAACATACTAGAAACTAACTGTCACAGAAATCCTAAGTTCCTTGCAATATCCCCTTTTCTACAACATTAATAAAGGTAATATGCTAATATTTAAAAAGAACATTTGGTTTTATATCACCAGCCTTGCACTTTTATCACTAGCTGTTATGTAAATGCGGCCTCGTTCTACATCCAAAAGGCACAACCATTTCATGCTCACAATTCACTTTGGTATTTATAAAAAGTTCTCATGACTTACATAGCCACATCTAGCAGTGAGGATTTAACATTGAGATGGAATCTGACATCCATAATATCTCATGTTTTGTAGACAGCAATGTAGGAGAGATGTATTTTTAATCACCTTTCATCTGAATGACCTTATGTAAAAGAAAAAACATCAATAATTTAGAAGTTCTAAGTCTCCAAAGGAGATTTTCACATGTACGCATAGAAATGGGGACGAGGTTGATTTTTAAGAAACGTCTTCCATGTCCACATCCTGTTGTAACTGCTGTACCATTTTTCTTCCAGCTGTTTTCTTTTGCCTGCATGAGGGGCCCGGATAAGATGAATGTTTTGCTTGACTTCTTTGATGTCCTGAACTTTTCAGTAGCTCTTGTTTTTCTTTAATCTGTTCATAATAAATTTAGCTTGATGTTTCTGTTTGATCTCTTCAACTCTTTTCATTGCATCAATAGTTTCATTCCACAGCTCTCACTGGTATTTGATGGGTTCATTTCTACGTTTTTCAAATTCAAATGAATTATCCACTGTAAGCTCTTTACCAGCTGCTTTCTTTCTTTCTTTCTTTCTTTTTTTTGAGAGATTTTTACTATAGGGCATGTGTGCTCACCAGACAGACAGAGACAGAGAGATAGAAAGCAAGAAATCACCCCCCAGGGAGATGGCTATGCTGCAATCCCTTCTCCTCCATTCTCCTCTCGGGATCTTGGGCACACACGCACACATGCCCGGCGTGAGTTTAAGCTTCCGGGTCCAGGACTTGAACCATGGTCGACTACGTGGGAGTCCAGTGACATAGCCATTACGCTAACTGCTGGTCCCTACCAGCTGCTTTCTGGAATTCTTTAGTCCACCTGACCTTGCAAGGATTGTGCTGCTTTTTAAAGTTTTTATGACATTTGGATTTACAGAATCTGAACACCTTGCAGTTGTTGTGGACGAACATCATGCCGTGGCCGAGGTAGATGGGCCCCGAGCAGAAATAACACTTCTCGATATGTGTGTCGGACCCGCGTGGGTAGCCACGGACCACACGCTGGGCATGGGAGGAAGTCATAATAATTATTTTTCTAAGAGAAATTTTTCCCATAGGGCGCATGTGTTCGCCAAAGAGATAGAGAGGGAGAAAGTGAGAAATTACTCCCCAGTGGATGGCTACACCATAATCCCTTCCTCCATTCTCTTTTCAGGATTTTGGGCATGCATGCACACATGACCCAGTGTGAGTTTCATGCCACTGGGTCTGGGACTCAAATTGCGGTCAGCCATATGGGAGTTCGTTGCTCCAACCACTATGCCACCTGCTGACCCCCAGCAAAATTATTTTAAACAGTAGTTACTTAGAAATTTGGGGTGAAGGAAGGTATGCTTGGCAAAACCCTCCTGACTCCTCAGTTGGTGTAGATAATGCTCCTGTCCCCGAAGGTTTCAGGAAGATTTACTTTGGTTGCTCTAACCACTGCATCACAAACTTCCAAAGCTGTTGCAGTTGGTGAGGACAGAGAGAGGTGGAAAGAACAAGCAAACTACCTATTAGGTCGTCAGGCAAGTCAAGATGTATTTTTCTGGTTCTCTATACAAAAATGGTCATGACTTTTCCCAACGACCCAATATTGCCAGGCCAAAGTTGTTGTTAAGATTCTCAGAGGGGCAGTAATGGATATAATGCTGCCCTTAGAATTGCCAGATCAGATATTTTATTTGGTACCGCTCAGGTGTTTGGCACCTCAAAGGAGTAGCTGTCCACTTTTTAGATGTTGAAGGTACGTGGAAAGAGGACTTGTGGATTTATAAAGCTACCATTGTATTATGATTTTAATGCATGTTTTTTCTTCTTAGGAGAACATATGAAAATGCTTCGCCTAGTGTGGAGACTTCTATAGATGGTAATCAGTGATGACCTCTTTACTCATGCTGCTATGTCACTTTCTTTTTATAGCTATGTGCCGTCCTCTGCCAGTCACTTTCCACCGAGGTGAGTCATTTCCATTTTAGAAGTTTGGTGTCAGTGTTCTGTCTCCAAAATTGCTACATTTCTATGGAACCCAATTCTGTAATGTTACATTGTCACCAGCTGGTTTCTTAAGTCTTCAGACTAAAAGTTGTCTATTTATAAATGTACAATTGCTAGCAAACTCGAAGCCTTATTTGTGAAAAATTGTTAAAAGCTGTGGCGGTGGTGGTAGTGGCAGGGTGTATTAGAGAGCAGGAGAGATAAGCATTGCCTGCAAATGCATGTGCCTATCTCGGCCTCCAAGCAAGAATCCTGACGTTCATGGTCATTAGATCGCCTTAGGTCATGTGTGACTCAAACATAAATCACTGATTCCGGTGAAATGAAACATACTGCCTGGGGGACCAGCAGTTAGCGTAATGGCTATGTCGCTGGACTCCCATATAGTCGACCGCAGTTCGCGTCCCCGACTGGGTGGCTTAAAACACGCCAGGCGCGTGTGCGTGCGTGCCCAAGATCCCGAGAGGAGAGTGGAGGAGAAGGGATGGCGGCGTGGCCATCCCCCCTGGGGGGTGATTTCTCGCTTTCTGGCTCTCTGTCTCTGTCTGGCAAGCGCACGCGCTCTATAGCAACAACCTCTCCAAAAAAAAAAGAAAGAAACATACTACCTGGCTTAAGCCAGACAAAATTATTCCTGGAGCTAGAGGTGAGATCGTCTTTCTCAGACTAGGCTTCCTAGGAGAAGAGAAGCTTCTAACGGCCATAGAAAAAAGGAATAGATATTAGGTAGTCATGAACAGACATCCACTATGGTATACAAAATTTATTTTCATTGTTGTTATTATTTTCTTTTAGAGAGAGTTTTGCCATAGGGCACATGTGCTCCCCAGAGAGACAGAGATGGAGAGGTAGAAAGGGTAGAAAGTGCTGACACCCGCGCGGGGGGGATGGCCACTCCTCAATCCCCCCTCCATTCTCCTCTCAGGATTTTGGGGTTGCATACACATGTGCCCTGCATGAGTTTAAGCCGCCTGGTCCAAAAATCGAATGGCAGTTGACTGGGAGTCCACCAACATAACCATTAGGCCATCTGCTGGTCCCAAAAAATCACTTTTCATTATTGATAGCTTATCTACATCAGAATAATTTCTAAAAAGTTTTTGTTATATTTTCATATAAAAAAAATACAAAAAAAATACTTCCGAGGCCAGCAGATGGCAGCTTGAAACTCACTCTGGGTGCATGTGTGTACATGCTCAAAATCCTGAGAAGGGAACGGAGGAGGAATTGTGGCATGGCCATCACCCTGAGGGGTTATCTCTCACTTTATCTTTCTCCACCTTTCCTTGTCTCTCTAGTGAGTGCATATACCTTATAGCAAAAGTGAGAAATCCCCTCTCAGTGGGGATGGCCACGCCGCAATCCCTTCTCCTCCATTCTCCTTTCGGGATCTTAGGCATGCACACACACATGCCTGGTGTGAGTTTAAACCACTGGGTCCAGCACTGGAACCACAGTTGACTTCATGGGAGTCCGGCAACATAACCGTTACGCTAACTGCTGGTCCTTTTTTTTTTTTTTTTTTTTTTTTTGCGACAGCTTGCTTTCTCACTTTCCCCCATGTCCTCTGTCTCTCTAATGAGCACAATACACTGCAGCAAATTAAATGATAATAATAATGATAAATAAAATTAAATAAATAATATTTATATGATTTTTTTGGAGAGGTTTTTGCTGTAGAGCGCATGCACTCATCAGAAACACACAGAGAGATGGGACCAGCAGTTGGCGTAATGGCTATGTCGCTGGACTCCCATGTGGTCGACTGTGGTTCAATTCCTAGACCTGGCAGCTTAAACTCACGCTGGGCGCATGTGCGTGCGTGCCCAAGATCCCGAGAGGAGAATGGAGGAAAAGGGATTGCAGCGTGGCCATCCCCACTGGGGGGTGATTTCTCGCTTTCTGTCTGTCTCTCCCTGTCTTTCTGGTGAGTGCACGCGCCCTGTATCAAAAACCTCTTTAAAAAGAACGAAAGAAAGAAAGAAAAGAAAGAAAGAAAGAAACAAACAAACAAACAAACACACAGAGAGACAGAAAGCGAGAAATCACTCCCCTCCCCAGGGGGGATGGCCATGCCACAATCCCTTCTCCTCCATTCTCCTCTGGGATCTTGGGCACGCACACGTGCCCGGCTTGAGTTTAAGCCGCCGGGTCCGGGACTTGAACTTTGGTCGACTACATGGGAGTCCAGTGACATAGCCATTACGCCAACTGCTGATCACAAATAGATAATAAGTTTTAAAAACTCTCGAAAAAAACTAAATACTTCTTATCTACAGTTCAGATAATTATTAATGTAATTCCAGTGTACTTTGGCTAATCCTCGGTTTGAGAAATAGACTGTTGGCTTGCGGCCAGCAGATGCCATAGCAGTTACGTTGCTGGACCCACACATGATCAGCTGCCATTCCAGTCCTGGACCAGTGGCTTGAAACTCATGCCGGGTGTGTGTGTGTGCCCAAGATCCTGTGGAGGGACAGTGGCAGAGAAGGGATTGTGGCATGGCTATCCTCCCTGGGAAGTGATTTCTCACTTTCCCTCTCACTGTCTCTGTCTCTCTTTCTCTCTGGGGACGTGCAAGCACTCAAAGCCAAAAACCTAAAAAAAGAAAAATAGAGGAACAAGTATCAGTTCTGCCTCAGAGGGCTCTGCCATCGCACATGAAAAGAAAAGTCTCCCTCTCTGTCTTTCTGGTGTGCGCACTCGCCCCATAGCAGAAACCTTGCCAAAAAAAAAAGAAAGAAAGAAAAGAAAAAAGAAAGGGAAGAAGTCTTCAGTCAGAAGTATTTTTGACTTGATAGGCTTGAGAAACCGTTGAATGTTTTTTTTCCATTTTTTTTTTTAATTTACCAGTGAGTGTGTTCACTTCTCAGATATAGAAAGCATGGTCACACCACAGTGCTCTTTTCCCTTTGGGATTTTAGGCATGCACGCACACATGCCTGGTGTGTTTTTCAGGCTACCCACTAAGACTCAAACCACCAGTCATCCACGTAGAATCCAGCTCCTTAGCCACCAGGCCACGGGCTGGCTCTGTTTTTCTTCCTTTTGAGTAAGCATTCAAAGATTAGTTGGGCTGACCCCGTGATCTGAGTTCTGGCCTGGTAGCTCACACCTGGTGCATGTGCATGTGTGTGCGGTCTCAGGAGGGAGAGATGAAGGAGAAGAGAGTACAGCTTGACCATTCCCTGTGAGGGGTCTCTTTGTCTCTCTATGGGGAGCGCACACACCCTCTGGTAAGTAAAGAAAGGAAGATTAGGCTAAGAGTGGACACTAACATCTGAATCCATTATTAGTGATAAAGTATTTTTTATTCTTGTTTTATTTTGAAATGTATGATGCTACTGGACAACTGTTTTCATCAACTTGCTGTTATAATGTTTTTTTAAAAATAGCAATAACTAAAAGACGTTAGGTTACTTAAAAGTTAGCATCTCGAGGTTAGCCAAAAAGAAAATGTTTCTAAGTACAAAAATATTTTTTATTAAATTATTTTAAACATTTAGTGAAAAATACATGGTTCAAAATTTTTTAAAATTATTTTATTTAACTTTATTTATTTATTTTTAATTTGATCAGAGAGGGACAGAGTGAGTGAAAAAAAGGGAGAAGGCAAGCCGCCAAGTCTGGGACTTAAACCATGGTCGGTCATGTGGGAGTCCAGCACCTTTAACCACCACGCCAGCTGCCAGCCCCAGATGGTTTAAAATTTTGATATGGTAAATAATTAAAAAGTAAGCTGGTCATATAGAATATATTTTTTCTATTTTTAAACTAATAAAATAATTCAAATTTCTATTTTTTTCCCTATGTCCATTGAGTCTAGCAGAAATATTTTTTAAAGAATTATTTATTTGGGGGACCAGCAGATGGCGTAATGGCGATGTTGCTGGACTCCCATGTCATCGACTGTGATTTGAGTCTCAGACCCAGAGGCTTAGAACTCACACCAGCCGTGTCCCCGTGTGTGCCCAAAATCCTGAGAGGAGAATGGAGAAGGGCTTGTAGTATGGCCATCCCCCCTGGAGGGTGGTTTATTGCTTTCTATCTCTATTTCTTCAGCGTGCACACATGCCATATAGCAAAAGCTCTCTTAAAAATATTTATTTAATTTTATTTTCATTATTATTGTTTTTAAATTTGCTACAGGGCATGCACTTTGACCAGAGACAGAGAAGGAAAGTGAGCAAGCAAGCTACCAGGTCCGGGACTTGAACCACGGTCGACCATGTGGGAGTCCAGTGCCTCAGAAAATGTTTCTAAGTACAAAAATATTTTTTATTAAATTATTTTAAACATTTAGTGAAAAATACATGGTTCAAAATTTTTTAAAATTATTTTATTTAACTTTATTTATTTATTTTTAATTTGATCAGAGAGGGACAGAGTGAGTGAAAAAAAGGGAGAAGGCAAGCCGCCAAGTCTGGGACTTAAACCATGGTCGGTCATGTGGGAGTCCAGCACCTTTAACCACCACGCCAGCTGCCAGCCCCAGATGGTTTAAAATTTTGATATGGTAAATAATTAAAAAGTAAGCTGGTCATATAGAATATATTTTTTCTATTTTTAAACTAATAAAATAATTCAAATTTCTATTTTTTTCCCTATGTCCATTGAGTCTAGCAGAAATATTTTTTAAAGAATTATTTATTTGGGGGACCAGCAGATGGCGTAATGGCGATGTTGCTGGACTCCCATGTCATCGACTGTGATTTGAGTCTCAGACCCAGAGGCTTAGAACTCACACCAGCCGTGTCTGCGTGTGTGCCCAAAATCCTGAGAGGAGAATGGAGAAGGGCTTGTAGTATGGCCATCCCCCCTGGAGGGTGGTTTATTGCTTTCTATCTCTATTTCTTCAGCGTGCACACATGCCATATAGCAAAAGCTCTCTTAAAAATATTTATTTAATTTTATTTTCATTATTATTGTTTTTAAATTTGCTACAGGGCATGCACTTTGACCAGAGACAGAGAAGGAAAGTGAGCAAGCAAGCTACCAGGTCCGGGACTTGAACCACGGTCAGCCATGTGGGAGTCCAGTGCCTCAACTACCATGCCACGTGCCGGCCCCTAGCAGAAATATTTTCATGTTTTCAAAATGTGTAGAAGTTTTACATTGCCATAGGTCCCACATTTTTTTCTCTTGCGTATTTAACGAGATGGTGTGCTAGTGTACCTACTGGTAAGAGGGTGCTGCCGCCGAAAAGGAAGATCCTCGGTGGTGGATTTAGCTGCCTCCTTACACGAAAGTGCTAAAGGAAGGGGCCTGTCCAGAGGATCCTGGCACTTAGTCTAGATGAGATAAGATACTTCTCTGTTTGTTACACTGCTAAGAAACAAAGCAGTAGTTTTTCTATTGTGGGCTTTCTGGTGCCACTTTACTCTCTGAGGGTCCTGAGAGGGAAAAGCCTCTTAGAAAGTGGGATGGAATTGAAACCTCATATAGTGTGTTAAAAATACTCGTGTCTCTGCTGTGAGCCCTGAGTGTGTGGGGTAACAGCTCATAGTGACGAGGCTATGAGCCAAGGCTGGCTGTAAAACTGGTGAGGGTAGTATCCATCCTGTGGAGTCTAGTTTGTCTGAAGCCTTAGAGCGGTTTCCCAAATTTGAGTCACTTGGTTATCACATTTACGGTTTTACCATAATTGAATACTACCTGTACAGATTTCATTTAAATCAATGAAATTTAATTTTCTTTAAATGAAATCTTAAGTTTGTTTATTTATTTATTGGAGAGGTTTTTGCTACAGGGCGTATGCGCTCACCAGAGAGACAAAAAGTGAGAAATCAGCCCCCTGGGGGGGAGGGTGGTCATGCCGCAATCCCCTCTCCTCCATTCTCCTCTCGGGATCTTGGACACGCACGCACACGCGCCCGGCATGAATTCAAGCCACCGGGTCCAGGACTTGAACCGCGGTCTACTACATGGAAGTTCAGTGACATAGCCATTACGCTAACTGCTGGTCCCAAAATCTTAAGTTCCTTTATTTATATATTTTAAAGAATTATTTTATTTAACTTTATTTATTTTAAAATTTGACTAGAGAGGGAGAAAGTGAGAGAGAAAGAGAGAGAGAGAGAGAGAGAGAGAGAAAGTAAGACTCAAACCACAGTTGGCCATGTGGGAGTCCAGCACCTTTATACCACCTGCCGGCCCCCTTAAATACCTTCATTTTAAAGTAAAACTTGTATAAAACTCTTGAAATTGGAAACTTTTCACTTTTTATCTGCATTTAAGTAAATACACTTATTAAAATGTGTGCTGTTAAAATGATCACGTACACCATCTGTGGTATGCAGAGTGTGCACAGATGGAGTGGCTCTTGAGACAGAGTACCCTGATGTTACCATTTTCTGACATCCGTTACTTAAATACTCCAGCTTGACTATTTCAAACTGCCAATTGATTTAATAATCTGACTTGCAAAATTCCTGACTGTTTAAAATTTGGCTCTTATAAGCCACTATAATCTAAATTCACACATACCAATGTATATATACTACATATTTGAAAATACTGAATTAGAGGATATGTGTTCAAAATTCAAATCAGGGCTGGCAGATGGTGTGGTGGTTAAGGGGCTGGACTCGCACATAGCTGACCACGGTTCGAGTCCCAGACCTGGAGGCTTGCTTTCCTACTTTCCCTTTTTCTCTCTCTGGTCAAATTAAACAAACAATAATGATGATGAGAAATGAAATAAATCTTTTTAAAAATCATATCAATTTTATTTACTTTAGCCTTTGACATGGTTCATGATCCAGTAGCAGCTCTAGAGACCCTCTTAACCCTGGGATTTGAACGCGTGTTGACCAGTGGATGTGACAGCTCGGCCCTAGAAGGGCTGCCCCTGATAAAGCGACTCATAGACCAGGTAAACGCAGCTTTTCTCTTCCTTCCTAAGCTTCTGTAGTGGTTACCCGTGACATTCTGTTACAGCTGGGCTGTGACTCTAAGCTTCGTGCTTACCTTATTGGAAAAAGCAGCGAGGCAGTGGTGCCTTTATATAACTTTTACTTTTCCCGTGAGGGTTTTTATCAACCACGGCTCTTAAGATCAAATTATCCGTAATGACAGAATATCTGACCTAATTCGGATAAACACAGTAAATTTGATCTTTTCTTTGCCAAGAGTGTCTCATTGATCGTTTAAGCCACATTTTTCTCTTGTCAGCCCATGTATACTAAGGGGATCTCATATAAAATTTAGGAGATAATTACCATCTAGAAGTGAATTCTAAAACTAAATTACATTCTTTCATTTCTGAATATAGGAGGAAATATAGTTTTCTCTCAGTGCAAGAAGAAATACATAGTTTTGGCACCAGCAGTTGGTGTAATGGCTATGTCGCTGGACTCCTATGTAGTCGACTGCGGTTCGAGTCCCGGACCCGGTGGCTTAAACTCACCCTGGGCGCGTGTGCGTGCGTGCCCAAGATCCCGAGAGGAGAATGGAGGAGAGGGGATTGCGGCGTGGCCATCCTCCCTGGGGGATTATTTCTTGCTTTCTGCCTCTCTGTTTCTCTCTCTGTCTTTCTGGCGAGTGCACACACTCTATAGCAAAAACCTCTCCAAAAAAAAGAAAAGAAATACTTATTTTTCTCACGTGAGATCTGTTAGCATGATTTGTAGAGCAGTCAGAGGATGGCTTTGTATTTGTATTTAAAATTTTTTTAAATTTGTTTTGTCACCTAACTTGTAGTCTGTCCTGGAGAATAATGATCCATGTGCTAGTGAGAAGAACACATATTGTCTTAATTCCACTTTCCATGAACCTTTTGAAGCTTCCTGATACTCTAACTGTATATAATTGTATCTATTATACTTTTCTTTTTTTGAGAGAGATTTTTCCTCTAGAGCACATGTGCTCACCAGAGAGAGAGAAAATGAGAAATTTCCCCCTGGGGGGATGACTGCACTACAAATCCCTCTTCTCCCTTCTCTTCTTGGGATTTTGGGCACACACACACATGCACCAGGTGTGTTTTAACCTGCCGGGTCTGGGATGATTTGAACTGTGATTGACTACTTGGGAGTCTAGTGACGTCGTCTGCTGGTCCTTGTGTTATACTTTTTCTTTCTTTCTTTTTTTTTTTCTTAGAGGTTTATTTTTTCGCTATAGGGTGCGTGCGCTTGCCAGACAGACAGAGAGAGACATAGAGACAGAAAGTGAGAAATCAACCCCCAGGGGGGATGGCCATGCCGCAATCCCTTCTCCTCCATTCTCCTCTCGGGATCTTGGGCACGCACACACACGCACCCGGTGTGAGTTTTAAGCCACCGGGTCCGGGACGCAAACCACGGTCGACTACATGGGAGTCCAGCGACATAGCCATTACGCTAATTGCTGGTTCCGTACTTTTTCATGACATATACCACAGTGGGAAGCCTCTAACTGAACCCAATCCATTTCATTATTGGATCCAACCCAGCAGTCCTGGGCCCCAGTCCAGTTTATGTTAACTTTTGAACCCAGTCTAGGTAAAAACTTCCTCACATAAACTTAGAGAGCTGTAAACACAAGTTCATCAGGCTCAGAACCAGAGAGAAAAACTCACCCTGACCGCCAGTTACAAACCAGAGATCAGTGAACCGTGGGCTCCACAGTGCCTCGCCTTGTTCCCTGGTATTCCGAGGGGTTGCTGGAGTTGGCTGTTAAATCTCACGTCTGACGCTAACACATTAAAGTAAAAATTAAGTACAACAATGTTAAATAGAGCAAAGAGCAACTCACAAATCGGGTAGCCCCAGAACAGAACAGATTCAGAAAGATTCTAAGGCTGCCATGTGGCTGGGCAATGTGAACAGAAAAGGGAAACGGCATACAGAATACAGAAGTGAGGTGCAGGATGGCACCATTGGTTAAAGCTTGATGTTTTTCCTAGCTGACTTGAGTGATTGACCAACTGTGATTGAAACTCAACTATTTGTTATGAAGGCACGTTTTCCTAAGTTCCCAGCCATGATGGTCCAGGTGGTGGAACACCACTGTGTGAGACAGGCCATTTGGGAGCCCAAGTTCAGTTCCTGAGCAGGAAGGGGTGGTGGGATGCACCTGGGATTCTGGCTTGCTAGGAGGCTGAAGCAGGACGATCACGGTCTGACAGGACCCTGTCAAAAATCGGTTCTCCTTCTCTGTCTGTCTGGCGAGCCCACCACGCCCTATAGCAAAAACGTCTCCAAAAAAAAAAAAAAAAACGGTTCTCTTTTTCTTAGGAAGGAGGGGGTAAGAGAGAAAACAGTAATGTTATTGAGTGTTCCTGTGTGTATGTGTGTATCTTTCATCTAAGAATCCTGATGTGTTTGCTACTCTGGGTCTTAATAATTGTACAGATTTTTTTTTAGAGAGGTTTTTGCTATAGGGCACGTGCGCTTGCCAGAAAGAGAGAGACAGTGAGACAGAAAGCAAGAAATAACCCCCCAGGGGGGATGGCCACATCACAATCCCTTCTCCTCCATTCTCCTCTCGGGATCTTGGGCATGCACGCACACGTGCCCGGCGTCAGTTTAAGCCACCGGGTCCAGGACTCGAACCACGGTCAACTACATGGGAGCCCAGCGTCATAGCCATTACGCTAATTGCTAGTCCCTTGTGCAGGTATTTTTAAAGTACATGTAAGGTGCAGAGCTTTTGCACCATGGTGGTGACAAATTGTGTATATAGTCCTTGCCTTTACAGTGTGTTGCACAACAGCCTCTTTTAGTAGAATGGTTAATTTTAATAGAATACTGTTCAAAAAGAGGTGTTGTAGTGGCACATTGGGGAGGAATTAGTCCCCCATTTGGAGGATGAAGGTTGGCAGTAGTTAAGGAAAGTTTCTCAGAAGAAAAGGCATCCATGGGGCCTGCAGGTAGTGTGGTGGTGAAGGGGCCAAGCTCCCACTGGCTGAATGCAGTTCAAGTCCTGGACCTGGTGGCTTGCTTTCTCACTTTTTCTTCCTTTCTTTCTTTGTCCCTCTCTGCTCAAATTTAAAAATAATAGTAAGAAATAAAATGAAATAATTCTTAAAATAGAAAAAGAAAAGGCATCCAAACTGCAATGTTGTACTTCTTTAAATGATGTTCGGGAGTTATCTCTGTACGATTAGGAGGTGCTGGGGGAAATTGTTCCATGTACATGAAATAGTATATGCATAGGCCTGGGGAAAAAGTAGGCATAACTTAAAATATTGAAGAGCAACCAGAATGTTAAACATAAAGAAAGCACTGATATCCAGAGCTTTGGAAACCTTACCAAAGTGCTCGTATTTTATCTTTGGTATAGAGGGGAAAGCCTGATATATTTTAAAACAGGCTGATAAATGAGGTTTCTAGTTTAACAAGGTTAGTTGCTAAGAATATAGAATAGATCATTATTGCCATGTATTGCATTTCCAAATCCATGTATGTGTAATTTGTATGTTCATCCATTGGTTTGCAGGAAAAGCGGGGTAAAATATTCTCATACACTAACCTTCTTTCTTTTCTTTTTTTTTTGGAGAGATTTTCACTATAGGACGCGTGCGCTCCGGACAGAGACATAGAGACAGAAAGCGAGAAATCACCCCCCAGGGGGATGGTCACACCGCAATCCCTTCTCCTCCATTCTCCTCTCGGGATCTTGGGCACGCACGCACACACGCCCAGCGTGAGTTTTAAGCCACCACGTCCAGGCCGCGAACCGCAGTCGACTACGTGGGAGTCCAGCGACATAGCCATTACGCTAACTGCTGGTTCCCACCTTTTTTCTTGAAGTAACTACCTACTTACTTTATAATGAACTACTGGTTAATTTATATGCTTTGGGATTAGACAGGCCTTTGTTTATGTCCTGGTTTTATCACTTATGAACAGAGCCTTTGGACAAATCACCTAACCTTCCTAAGCCTCCGTTTTCTCGTCTGCAGAGTTGGGATGGTAATAGCAGCTACCTCCTAGCACAGTTGTGAGGGAGTACGGCAAATAATACTGCAATGTCTGACCTTAGTAAGTGCTTTATCATTGTTGAACTGCCTTGACGAAGGCCAGCAGGTGGCCTGCTGCTCAAATTTAAAAATAATAGTAAGAAATAAAATGAAATAATTCTTAAAATAGAAAAAGAAAAGGCATCCAAACTGCAATGTTGTACTTCTTTAAATGATGTTCGGGAGTTATCTCTGTACGATTAGGAGGTGCTGGGGGAAATTGTTCCATGTACATGAAATAGTATATGCATAGGCCTGGGGAAAAAGTAGGCATAACTTAAAATATTGAAGAGCAACCAGAATGTTAAACATAAAGAAAGCACTGATATCCAGAGCTTTGGAAACCTTACCAAAGTGCTCGTATTTTATCTTTGGTATAGAGGGGAAAGCCTGATATATTTTAAAACAGGCTGATAAATGAGGTTTCTAGTTTAACAAGGTTAGTTGCTAAGAATATAGAATAGATCATTATTGCCATGTATTGCATTTCCAAATCCATGTATGTGTAATTTGTATGTTCATCCATTGGTTTGCAGGAAAAGCGGGGTAAAATATTCTCATACACTAACCTTCTTTCTTTTCTTTTTTTTTTGGAGAGATTTTCACTATAGGACGCGTGCGCTCCGGACAGAGACATAGAGACAGAAAGCGAGAAATCACCCCCCAGGGGGATGGTCACACCGCAATCCCTTCTCCTCCATTCTCCTCTCGGGATCTTGGGCACGCACGCACACACGCCCAGCGTGAGTTTTAAGCCACCACGTCCAGGCCGCGAACCGCAGTCGACTACGTGGGAGTCCAGCGACATAGCCATTACGCTAACTGCTGGTTCCCACCTTTTTTCTTGAAGTAACTACCTACTTACTTTATAATGAACTACTGGTTAATTTATATGCTTTGGGATTAGACAGGCCTTTGTTTATGTCCTGGTTTTATCACTTATGAACAGAGCCTTTGGACAAATCACCTAACCTTCCTAAGCCTCCGTTTTCTCGTCTGCAGAGTTGGGATGGTAATAGCAGCTACCTCCTAGCACAGTTGTGAGGGAGTACGGCAAATAATACTGCAATGTCTGACCTTAGTAAGTGCTTTATCATTGTTGAACTGCCTTGACGAAGGCCAGCAGGTGGCCTGGTGGTTAAGGTGCTGGATTCCCTCATGGCCGACCAGTTTGTGTGCTGGACCTGGACATGACAGCTTGCTTTCTCACTTCCTCTCTCTCCCCCGAGTCTCTCTCTGGTGAGCACATGTGCCCTGTAGCAGATTTTTTAAAAATAGTAATAATAGTAAATAAAAACCGAATTTTTTAAAAATTGCCTCAACTAAGTAATCTCAGTTCTAAATAATTTTTGTGGAAGTCCCCCCCCCCCAAAAAAAAAGTGATGGAATTCACTCTTTGAAAGTATCATTTGTACATGTTTTGGAAAACCTTCATTGGAGGCAAACATCATATTTTTACTCCTAAAATCTGTTCAGCTTTTTAGATAGTAAATGTTTTGTGTTTTAGATGCTTTGCTTCAGTACATGTGAGAATATGAAACATCCTTACTCTCACTTCTCTAACAATTACTGAATCCTATAAATTAGTCTCTTCTATCTTTCACTTTCTACTTTATCTTGCTTTCTGTTTTTTTCATCGTGCTTACTGTTACCTGAAATTTCATTTTATAAATAAACCTGTCTGTTGTCTATCTTGTTCACCATGGTAGGGACGAAAAACTTATCTTCTCTCCCCCATGGTTGTTATTGGGGTCCTAAAAGTTAAACTCACAAAGACATTTTGCAGTAGAAACACACACACACACAAAATGGACCGATCATGTACCTCACTGACTGTGCAAAGAAATGTGACTCATGGACCTGTAGATGGTGTAATGGTTATGTTGCTGGACTCCTACATAGTCAAGCATGGTTCGAGTCCTGGACCCAGCGACTTAAACTCAGACCAGGCATGTACGCGTGCACACATGTGTGTGTGTGTGTGTGTGCCCAAAATCCCAAGAGGATAATGGAGAAGATGGGATTGCAGTGTGGCCATCCCTCCTTGGGGGGAGATTTCTCATTTTCTGTCTCTCTGTCTCTCTAGCAAGCACACGTGACCTATAGCAAAAATCTTTCTGAAAAAAAAATATGACTCAAAGGATTGGTTAAAATTTGAGGCTTTTGTACCTTCTTAATAGGCAAAGGAGAGAGAGAGAATAAAAGAAAGGTATGATAGTCTTGTAAATATTTCAAAACCTACATTTCAGAATCAATAATTACATCAATTCATATAGTCCCAACTAAATTAACCTGTGGTTTTGTTTAATTAGTATGATAAAGAATTTAGTTGAGAGTCAAATAGATTTTTTTTCAATAATTTACGATTATACTGTGTTCTTTTTTAAAAAAGAATTATTTATTTAATTTTATTTATTCATTCATTTATTTTAATTTGACCAGAGCGAGACAGAGAGAGAGAGAGAGAAAGCAAGCCATCAGGTCTGGGACTCAAACCGTGGTTGGCCATGTGGGAGTATCCAGCGCCTTAAGCACCATGCCACCTGCTGGTCCCCACTATGTTCTTTTTTTTCCTGTGTTATAAACATATTGTTTAAATTCAACTAGGTCCATCTTATTGTATATTAGTAACTCAGAGTTAGTGTTATTTTCAGCACCGCTTTCCTTGAGGTAGTGTGATTATTCCGTATTTATATCGTATCCTCCTGATCTTTATGTTCGTAACAGTGTAAGTCTTTTTTTTTTTTTTGAGAGGTTTTGGAGACAGAGAGACAGAAAACGAGAAATCACCCCCCAGGGGGGATGGCCACGCCGCAATCCCTTCTCCTCCATTCTCCTCTCGGGATCTTGGGCACATACACACACGCACCCAGCGTGAGTTTTAAGCCACCGGATCCAGGACGCGAACCGCGGTCGACTACGTGGGAGTCCAGCGACATAGCCATTATGCTAACTGCTGCTTCCCCACAGTGTAAGTCTTTAAATTAATACAGTGAAACAATCTTTCTACGTGAACCGCGGTTGACTACATGGGAGTCCAGCGACATAGCCATTACGCAAACTGCTGGTTCCCCACAGTGTAAGTCTTTTAATTAATCTTTCTGGGTAGAAAATTATTATTCTGGACATCTTACTTGCCCAGGATCACAAAGAAACAGAGATCTACTGAAAACCAGACATTAATAGTAATTTTTTTAAAATTTACTATACTTTGACTCATATTTCTATGCTGAGTGCTTTATTATCTATTTAAGAGAAAGATATTAAAATTTACTTATTTTTTTCTTTTTCCAGGCTAAAGGCAGGATTGTGGTAATGCCAGGTATTTATTCATCTACCCATTCGTTAGCATAACACTGAGTGACAGTGCAGGGAGTGCCCAGGAGGCAGGGCAGTGGGGAGAAGGTGCTGGTGCACGTGCTCAGAGACAAGAATGTAGCGTTGCTTTAAATGCTGAAGATTGGGAGCCCTGTGCTGGCCTTTAAAACTTCAGATGAAAAGAGAAAAAACGAAATATTCTCTCAGAGGAGCAATTAAGAAAGTCTACTGGAACTGGGGTTTCTGTTTGCTCTCCTATAGTGTAGACCTTCATGAATTGGAATCTGCATCTCTTGCGAGGCACACCAGGCTTGATACTGCGCTGCTGTGTTATGGCAGCATCCTAGTCCCTAACAGGGTATAAGCAAATGTTTAGACAGCAGCCCCAGGTAAATATAATACTCTCTTAGTTCCCAGAATCTCTGGTTGCTAAATTCTTTCTTGTAACCAGAATAATTGGACCATACGCTCCTGATCATACACATAATCAATTAAGTACATAATGCCTTTTTTGATAGTTTCTTATTAGGTTTCTCAAACATAAAAAGTAGATGGTAACATGTTCATTCCCTAGGCTTAGCATTTTGCTGTATTTGTCTCATATTTCTTTTACTACGGAAGTATTTTAAAATTAAAGACATTGTGATATTGTTGTCTATGCATCACTAAAAAAAGGGCATTTTACTATGACCACAATACCACTCACACCTGTCAAAAGAAGCACCAGATCCATACTGCGCAGTCCTCGGTCCATAGTCACCTTCCTTCAGTTAACCCTGACGTGTCGTTATGTTTGATATGTGCGGACTAGGACCCAGAACACGCATTGCATTGGTTGTTATCTTTCTTAATATTTTTTAATGTGAAAGTTTTCCTTTTCTTTTTCTTGTGTTTGTGTGTATTTAAACAAAAAGACATTTGGACCACGGAACCCACTAGTAGCATGGTGGTTACTGGAGCCTGCATGGCCAACTGTGTGGGCTGAGTCCTGGAGCCAGCAGGATGCATGTGTGTGCATGCCCACAATCCTGAGAGGAAATTGAAGAGATTGCAGCATAGCCATCCCTCCTAGGGGGTGATTTCTTACTTCCCCGCTTTCTCTTGCTCACTTCCTCCCCTCTTTTTTTTTTTTTTTTTTTTTTTCTTGTCTCTCTGGTGAGAGCACACACTCTATAGCAAAGCTGAAAAAAAAAAGTTGGACCACTTATCTGTTGAATATTCTACTTTCTGGATTATCAGATTGTCTCCTTTTGATATTGTTTAGCTTATTCCTCTAGCCTCTGTATTTTTTATAAACTGGTGGTTAGTTCATACGGTTTGATTAGATTCTGATTAAATGATTTTGGTAGGAATCCTTCATGGACAGTTCCATATACTTTATATTACATCAAATTAAAAGGCATTCGATTTCTGTTCGTTTCATTACCATCAATGGCAAGACCAGTGACGTTCAAAATGGTGACAACTGTAGACGAAAGGTAACTTTTAAAAATAGTATGTAAGGGATCAGCAGTTAGCATAATGGCTATGTTGCTGGACTCCCATGTAGCCGAACATGGTTCAAGTTCCAGAGCTGGTGGCTTAAACTCATGCTGGGCGCATGTGCGTGCGTGCCCAAGATCCCAAGAGGAGAATGGAGGAGAAGGGATTGTGGCATGTCCATCCCCCCTGGGGATGATTTCTCGCTTTCTGTCTCTCTGTCTTTCTGGCAAGCACATGGGCCCTATATTAACCCCCCCCCCCAAAAAAAAAAAGTACGTAGAGGGTATTTTCAGATATTTAGGAAGGCTTTGACCTGAAACATGAAACAGATAAAAAGGTCCCTGAAACATGAATAGATAGAAAACATTATCTGTGGAATTGAGACCCTTTGTGGATTAATCAGGGAATGTTAGAGACTTAGTATGCTGCTTTTTGTTTTAAGATTAAACATTTAATCTTGAAGCTAAACCCAGGGTTAGATGATTAACATTAGGTATCCCTTTGTTTAATATGCAATAATAAGTTACCTGTTTTGCATAAGGCATTACTTGATAATTATGTAAGAAACTATTTCCTCAAAGAATTGACAGTCAGAGCATGCTATATACAAAGATACGTGTATGTTAACAAATTTTATGAACAAATGATAATTTATGGTATGATTTATTTTATTTTATTTCTTTGTAAAATTTTGCCAGAGGGCACATGTGCTCACCAAAGAGAGACAGGGAGAAAGAGAGGAGGAGGGGAGAACATACCTGCAGGGGCTGTGGTCATGCCACAATCCCATCTCCTCTGTTTCCCCATCTTGTCGAGAGTTTGAGCACACATGCACATAGGCTCCGGTGTTTTGCAGGCTGCCAGGGCTGGAATTCAAACCGACTGGTTTACTGTGTGGAATTCAGCTCCTCTAACCTCTGGGCCACAAGGCAGGCCTGCAAATGCTAAGTACATGCCAATTATAATAACATATTGTATGCTAATTGTATTATAGATATGAAAACAAATGAACATGAAATAATTCTTCTACTTGAGGTCACAGAATAGACTTGTAAACAAATTATTATAACTTCATGTAAGTAAGTACAAGCAAGTAAAAATTCCTAGGTAAGTTTATGTGTATGCCTAATGAGAATTCGTCACTGAGAAATATATTCATAAACAGAGCCTGGCAGTTTCCCTGTGGGTGTTTTCATAATGGAGCTTAGAATATATTTCGACTCCATTTCCCCATTTTTTTTTTGAAGTTTTTATTTTGCCATAGTGCATGTGTACTCGCCAGAGACACAGCAAGGGAAAGTGAGAAATCACCCCTCAGGGGGATGGCCATGCCACTGCTATTTCTTCTCCTAGGATTTTAAAATCACCACACACATGCACGCACACGCACACGCACATGCACACACACACACACACACACACCCAGTGTGATTTCAAGCCACCTGGTCTGGGACTCAGACTGTGGTTGGCCATGTGGGAGTCTAGTGCCTTAACCACATGCCAGCTGTTGGCTCAGTTTCCCCATTTTAAAAAGAGGAATATTGATCTAGCCCTCTGGGGTCCCTTTCACTTGCAAAGCTGTATTACTCTGTCTGGAAACCGTATTACACTTATGAAGTTGCTTATAACTGAGCAACATACGTTTTAGTGGCCAGATAATGATTTTTAGAATAAATATTTAATGTATTTGTCTCTTAATCCTTTCCATGAGGCTGTGAGGTCAGCAATAGTATCCTTCTTTTATTGGTGAAAAAGTTGAAGCTTAGTGAATTTAAGTATTTTATCTAAGAGCATGTAGCTGTGAAGAGCTACAATGATGAAGCCAAGATTTCAGTCTAACTCTAACTTAGCCTGTTGTCCTTCTATTTCCAGGGCTCTGTACATTTAAGGAGAAAAAAAAAGCCAAGTTAATGAATCTAGGACCAGCAGTTAGCGTAATGTCTATGTCGCTGGACTCCCATGTAGTCGACCATGGTTCGCATCCCGGACCCGGTGGCTTAAAACTCATGCCGGGCGCGTGTGCCCAAGATCCCGAGAGGAGAATGGAGAAGGGATTGAGGCATGGCCATCCCCCCTAGGGGGTGATTTCTCGCTTTCTGTCTCTCTGTTTCTCTCTGTCTGTCTGGCGAGTGCACGCGCCCTATAGCAAAAACCTCTCAAAAAAAAAAAAAAAAAAAAGACCAAGTTAATGAATCTAAAAAGTGTATAAAGACAAGTTCAACAATTTGAATAGTTTGAGATATAAAGTACATATTTCATGTTAATTTAAAAATGTATTGAAATATCCTATATATATATATAAGGAGATAAGGAGATAAAAATAAATTAATATTTATAATCTACTGGTACCAATTTAGCATTCTTTTAGTTTTTCTGCCATAGGGCATGTGTGCTTGCTAGAGAGTGACAGAGACAGGGAAAGTGAGAAATCACTCCCCAAGGGGGATGGCCGTGCTACAGTCCCTTCTCTATTCTCCTTTTGGGATTTTGGGCACACACATGTGTGTCCAGCATGATTTTCAAGCCGCCAAGTCTAGGACTTAAACTGTGGTTGGCCATCCGGGAGTCCTGTGCTTTTAACCTCCATGCCACCTGCTGGCCCCCAGAATATGATTCTTTATATATTTGAAAAATTGTTCATCAAAGCAAGGCATCATAAAGTACTTGGTCGTGTGCTTTCAATAAAGCAGAGGCAGATTCTTCTGTGAAATGAAACAGGAAGTGAATATTATAATAAATATTGAATAAATTATCAGTACCTTGCACTATTCTCATTTCCTGTTAAAGTCGGTGTACTCTCAAATCCTGGGCCGTGTAGAGGAACTTGGAGGTTCATTCTTTTAGACTATCTCCAACTTTGTAGTTTTGTGGCTCCTTCCTGAAACCTCTCATCACTTTTTGTTTTGATCTGATTTTGCGGGGAGAGCAGGGATGGAATGCTCAGTGATTTTCCTTTGTCCAAGAGTAATCTTTTTAGATTTAAAGTCATTAACGTAAAGCATTGTTATATGCATCAGTAGACATACATATCAGATGCTGTTGTATAGCTTATATGACTTTAACAATTCTTCAGATGTCCAAGAGTAATCTTTTTAGATTTAAAGTCATTAACGTAAAGCATTGTTATATGCATCAGTAGACATATACATATCAGATGCTGTCGTATAGCTTATTTGACTTTAACAGTTCTTCAGAGTCTGTAGTCTATTTTTTTTTTTTAAATCACTTTTCTAATCTCATTCTAGCTGAATAAGGAGAGAATGATTCTTAAATCAATGAGAAATTATAGAGTGGGGATTCTGGGTAGAACAAGCAGTCATTATTATTCCTTGAATTTCATGTAAAGTTTTCTTCTATATAATATATTACTTATTCTTTCCAACAGGGGGTGGCATAACAGACAGAAATCTACAAAGAATCCTTGAGGGGTCAGGTGCTACAGAATTCCATTGTTCTGCCAGATCTGCCAGAGACTCGGGAATGAAGTTTCGGTAAAAATGTATTCTTTGATTCATACAAGAATGAATAAGAGTTTCCATCCTCAAATAGGAAAATAGCATGATCAGTTAATAGAATCTGTTAGTGTTAGAGTTGTTTTCGCAGTTGAAAAACATCTCTAAAATGGTTCTTTGCTCTGCTCTAAATAAGCATGCCCTCTGAACACAGGTGAAACTTTATATCCTTAAGGCATGCTAAACTTAGACTGGTTAATAATAAACTATTTCAGCAGCTAAGCCTCTGATGAGTCACACATGTACATTTGCCCATTTTGCCTGTTTTTCTTTAGCAAAGTTAGTAACATTGGTGGAAGGATAGAAGAGTCAGCCCTTTTTACCCTTCCTACCTTTAATACTTAGTCTTTCTGACCTTGGCTGTATTTTCAGTTGGTTTGCTTTGCTTCTTTTGCTCTAAGATGTGTGTGTTTGCCAGAGGCAGACGGAGAGAAGGAGAGAAAAAGAAAGTGAGAAGTCACCCCTGGGTGGATGGCCACACCACAGTCCCTTCTCGTTTCCTCAGGATTTTAGGCATGCACGTGCACACACCCTTAACCTCCATGCCGTATGCTGGCCCATCTACTTTCAGTTATTTTGAAATTATATCACTATTACGAAATTGAAACTATTGGGCTGTTGGGAAAGTCATGACATATTTTTTTTATACAAAAATGTGTCATGACTTTTCCAACAACCTAATATTATGTGGATTTCTTTATGATTGAGAGTACTCTTATATTTAAATAGTCGAATGTCTTTGTAACTTGGGGAAAATATGATGTAAAAGAAGTAAGAATTGGGCCAGTTAGTGACATGGTGGATAAAGCATCTCACATGGCTGACTGCATGGTTTGAGTCTCCAGATGCAGCAGCTTAAAAAATACACTGGGCTCCTATGCATAGATGCCCAAAATCCCAAGAGGAGAATGGAGGAAAAGGGATTGTGGCCTGGATGTCCTTCCTAGGGTGTGCTTCCTTACATTCCCTCTTTCTGTGTTTTTCTCTCCAGTGAATACACTTTCCCTATAGAAAATTTGTAAAACTTGATTTAAAAAAAAAGTATTCCCTCTTTCTGTGTTTTTCTCTCCAGTGAACACACTTTTCCTATAGAAAATTTTTAAAACTTGATTTAAGAAAAAAGTAAAAAACAAAAAATCAGAACTCACAGAGGTTTAGTCTGGTTTTTAGTGGAATTTTAACTGATGAACTGGGAAAATTCAACTGCAAGGTATGAATTCAGAGTGACTTCAGTGTCAATAGCAGTATTTTGTTTATTCTCTATTGTGAGGGCAAGGGCTGCTTTTGCTGTTTTGGACTCTAATCACAGTTGACCTTGTGAGAGTCCAGCCCTTAGCAAGCCACTGGGTCTGGGACTTGAATCACGGTTGGCCATGTGGAAATCCAGCGCCTTAACCGCCATGCCACCTTCCTGACCTGAGTATTTTGTTTCTTCATTTGTGAAATAAAAATTTCCATCCTATTATGGTTTAGTCTCATTCTTTTTTTTTTTTTTTTTTCAGAGTTGTTTTTTTTTTTTTTTTTTTTTTTTTTTTTTTTTTTTGGCATGGCATGTGCGCAGAGAGAGAGAGACAGAAAGCAAGAAATCACCCCCCAGGGGGTTGGCCACGCCATGATCCCTTCTCCTCCATTCTCCTCTCGGGGTCTTGGGCACGCATGCACACACGCCCGGTGTGAGTTTAAGCCACGGGGTCCAGACTCAAACCGCAGTTGACTACATGGGAGTCCAGCGACATAGCCATTTTACACTGACTGCTGTTCCCTCATCTCATTCTTAGGCTGAATACAATCTGTAGCCAAGTAGAAGCCAAGGGAAGATTTTGTTTTGCTTTTTCTTTCATTTCCTTCCAGGTAAAAATCAAGTGGCTACTAGGTGTTTAATTAATTAATTATCAAAATCATAAAATATGGCAGTCCACGGTCTTTGACTTGTCCATGTTCTTAAGCTATGGAATAACCTATAAAACGAAGCGCCCATAGAAGGGTTCATTTAGCAACTTATGTAATTATCTGTTCTTCTCTTATTTCTATTGCAGAAATTTCTCTGTTGCCATGGGAGCCTCACTTTCTAGCTCAGAATATTCTCTGAAGGTAACAGATGTGACCAAAGTAAGGACTTTGAATGCTATTGCAAAGAACATCCTGGTTTAGCCTGACCTCTCTGAGAGACATAGACCTCACAGGATGGAGGTAGAAATATAGTCTGCCGTTCTCAATGACAGCTTTAACCTTCTTCCCTGGCCAGACAGACAACATCTTTTTAAGTTTCACATGGTAATGGCGAATCTTTCCAAGAAAAAGAACTTGAAACAGAGGTACAATCACTTCCTTTGCTCAAATCTTACTGGACATTGCTGTCATCATGGTTAAATCTGGCCTGTGTGCCTTCCACAGAGGTTTGGTTTGTTTTCAGTGGAATTTTAGTTGATAAACTGGGAAAATTCAACTGCAACGTATGAATTCAGGATGACTTTAGGGTCAGTCTAATAGCAATATTTTGTTTTTTCACTTGTAAAATAAAAATTTCTATAGCAGTGTGGTTTAATCTTATTCTTAGGCTGAGTACAGTCTGTAGCCAAGTATGGAAGGGAAGATTTTGTTATGCTTATTCCTTCATTTTCTCTTTTTATTATGTACTCATTTGTATATTGCCCTAGGCAAGATGCTAAGATTACCAGATAAAATGGTACAACATAAAATTTCCAAACTTGGGAAGCAGGATATACAGAGTTCCCAGAACCTACCCATGACCTACCCATCTTTCAGCTCTCAGGCCCAGTGGCTTGAACGGCATGCTGAGTGCTTCTGTGTACATGCCCGAAGTCTGATGTGAAGGAGGAATGGAGGAAAAGAAACAGCATGACCACACCCTATTGTGAGGGCAAGGGCTGCTTTTGCTGTCCCTCCCTCTTTCTTTGTCTCTCTGGCAAGTACACATGTCCTTCTATAAAAAGAAAGAAAGAAACGAAGAAAGATTTCCAGACATATAAAAAGATAGAAGTGATGTCTGGTATTCATTAGGTTACTTCTTTTGTTCCCAGGTGAAAAAAAGGCTTAACTGTTAGGTTGTCAGAAAAGTGTTGCTGTATTTTTTTCTATGCAAAAATGCATCATGATTTTTCTGACAACCCACTATGAGGTCTATCTGATGATTACAAAGGCCTGTAGTGAGAACTGGGAAGTTAGAGATGTTATGAAGGTAACTTGAAAATGGGGGTGGTCATCAAATGTTCATGGAAAATATGTATTATGCAAAAAACTACACTTGAATTTAAAAATATTCTTGCACCAATATAAACTTGTACTAACTTATAACATGTACAAACAGCATCTTGTTTGAGACACTAACAAAGATAAAACATCAGTTCAAAAAAAGCCCCTATCATAGCAATATGAATTCTGCTAAAATTGAATCAAAAATAAAGATTATGGTGAAGCTTGGATGGAAGAATTGTGAAATCATTGATGCTTTGTGAATATTCTGTAGGGATGAGACCCCAAAGAAAGCAGTAGTTTGCAGATGGATAACTTGGTTTTTTTTTTTTTTTTTTGGAGAGGTTTTCGCTATAGGGCACGTGCGCTCGCCAGACAGAGAGAGACATAGAGACAGAAAGCGAGAGATCACCCCCCAGGGGGAATGGTCCCGCCGCAATCCCTTCTTCATTCTCCTCTCGGGATCATGGGCACGCACGCACACGCGCCCGGCGTGAGTTTTAAGCCACCGGGTCCGGGACGCGAACCGCGGTCGACTATGTGGGAGTCCAGCGACATAGCCATTACGCTAACTGCTGGTCCCTGGATAACTTGTTTTAAGAAGGAATAAAACAATGTCACATTGTCACAGCAGATCACATCAATCTGCAAGGAAAACATTGATCTTGGTCTTAACCTAATTAAAGAGGACTGATGAGTAACAGCAGAACACCCGCAGCACCACAGAGTCTCAGTTGATTCTGCTTACACAATTCTTTATTATTTATCTATTTATTTTTGCTAGAGAGTATGTGCACTTGCTAGAGAAACATAGAAAGAAAGGAGAAACATCCCCACCCCCATGGAGAATGGTCACATTGCATTCCTCATCTCTATCTCTCCCTCCTTTCTGGATTTGAGCATGCATGTACACACGCCTGACCTGTTTCTCAAGCTGCTGGGTTGGGTACTTGAACCACATGCTCAGCAATGTGGTGTCCAGCTGCGTTAACTACCAGGCCACAGAATCAGCCCTAGGTTACATAATTCTGACTGAAAAAATAAAATTGAGCGTACTTTCTGCTCAGTGGATGCGAAAACAAATGCACCCAGATCAAGTGGAGGTTTCAGTGGAAATTTTAAACAAGTGGGATCAAGATCTTTGAAGAATTTTTTAAAAAATTATTTATTGGGACTAGCAGTTGGTGTAATGGCTGTATTGCTTTATTCCCATGTAGTTGACCACAGTTTGAGTCCCAGACCCGGTGACTTAAACTCACACTGGCACATGTGTGTGCATGCCCAAGATCCCAAGAGGAGAATGGAGGAAAAGGGATTGCAGCGTGGTCATTCCCCCTGGGGTGTGATTTCTCACTTTCTCTCTCTCTGTCTCTGTCTGTCTTTCTGGCTTGCGTATGCACCCTGTAGCAAAAATTTCTCAAAAACAAACAAAAAAAATTATTTTATTTATTCATTCACTTATTTTAATTTGATCACACACACACACACACACACACACACAGGGAAAGTGAGAAAGCAAGCCATCAGGTCCAGGACTCAAAATGTGGTCAGCCATGTGGGAGTGTCCAGCACTGTAACCACCATGCCACCTGCTGGTCCCTGTTTGAAGAATTTGAAGAGAAGATGCCACATGACTTTACTAGTATGATCCTGAAGAGAACACACAATTAAAACAGTGTTTACTGTTCCATTGCGGTTCCAAGCCCCTTTCACCTGCATGGCCCAGAGAGGAAGCCATTGAAGAAGCATGGCTGGGAAGCTCCCTCTTGGTGTTCTACACAGGTCTGTTCTTTGGAGCCTTCTGTGTCCTGCTGCCCCTCTGCTGTGGTTCCAAGCCCCATCCATCTGCCCAACAGAGACCTAGGGAGCCAAGTACTTCCAGATTCCATAGTTCATTGGCCCATGTGCTGTGCACAGACTTATACTTCTTTCTGTAGTTACAGAGTTCCATCCCAGTTCCAGGTGCATCTTATCCTCAAAGGTTGTTAGAGGATCCCAGCACCTGAACCTCACTAGATACACCCTACTGTGGTTGAAAAAACACATTCCCCTACCAAGAACACACCTGGGAAGAAGAGCTGTTCTTTTCCCCTGACCTACAGAAACTATTCAAAAAAGTAGGAAGAAGTGTATTTCATCAGATGACTATAAACCCCCCTTCTACCATGGATAGCACAGTAGATCCCATAGAAATGTCAGAAAAAGAATTGAGAATATTCATAATGACAAAACTAAATTAGATGCAAGAGAAAAGAGACAGCAAACTCTAGATGAGAAATCCTTCCACAACTTGAAGGGGGAGATGGAAATCATAAAAAAGAATCAAACAGAACTTCTAAAGATAAAAACTGTGATACAGGAAATGAAACCTCCCTCCAAAATATTAATAGTAGGTTAGACCATGCAGAAGATCAAATCTCATCTAGAAGACAAAAACCACCAAAAAGAATGAAAAAATAACCAAAGAAATTAGGATAACAGTAGAAATACTAGATACTACCAGATAGCCAAGTAATTGGTATTCCGGAAGGTGAAAAATCTAATAAATTTTTATTCCATGAAATACTTGAATAATTTCCAAACCTAGAAGAACATTCAGACATCCATACCCAAGAAATATGAAGGACCCCAAATAGAAACAACCTAAGATCTCGCCACAGCATATTATCCCTAGATTGGTCAAAATCATAGACAAAGACAAGATTCTAAAAATGGCGAGCAAGAAACATCAAGTTACAGAGATTATCCCATTAGGCTAACTTCAGACCTCCCAAGTGAAACTATGCAAGTAAGGAAAGAAGGGAGGCTATGTTAAAAATGCTAAAAGAAAAATAATTTCAACCAAGAGTACTATACCTGGCACGACTTTCTTTCATATGGGAAGAACAAATAAAGTCATTCTCAGATAAACAAAAGAACTGAAAGAATTCACCAACACTAGACCAACTCTTGATTATTTTTTTCTCGAAGAGAGAGGTTAATGCTATAGAGCATGTGTGCTCGCCAGACAGACAGAGACAGAGATAGGAAGTGAGAAATCACCCCCCAGGGGGGATGGCCACACCTCAATCCCTTCTCCTCCATTCTCCTCTTGAGATCTTGGGCATGCACGCACAAGCGCCCAGCGTGAGTTTAAGCCTCCCGGTCGTGGACTCAAACCACGGTGGGCTCCGTGGGAGTCCAGCAATGTAGCCATTACACCATCTGCTGGTCTTGAGCTCTTTAAGAAATGCGAAGGAAGTATATCAGAAAAACTAAAGAAAGACAAATAGAAATAAGAACAAAAAAACAACCAAGAAAATGGCTAACAAAATGGCATGGATAAGTTCACAAACAATAACATTGAATGGTAATGGATTAAATTCTCCAATCAAAAGACACAGACTGGCCAAATAGATTTTAAGAAAAGAAAAAGGAGCCCTCTATATGCTGTCTAGAAGAAATGCACCTCATGGATAAAAACAAACATAGACCGAAAGGGAAGGCCTGGAAAAAGATATTCCCAGCAAATGAAAATTTTTAAAAGGCTGGAGTTGTGACACTGATATCAGACAAAATAGGAACTGGCAGATGGT